AAAATTCGGCTGGGAAAGAGCAATAACAGTTGATAATGCTCGCTACTGCAAGATAATAATACAATTTTTTATTACTAAGCTCTGAGATAGGCATTTAAACAATCCCTAGTTTTGATAGAACGGTGCTGTATGCCATACAGTCCGAGCAATAGTTTGAATAATACCTCTAAAAAATTCAAGCACATTTGTTAAAGGCGGTCATTGAAAATGTCACCAGATGATTAATTATATGTTTTTTCGGTTTTTCTATATATTTTAGATTTTTTATTGATTCATAATGTATACATCGTTCTCGTGCATATTTTATTTTATAGGATAAAGAGAAAACGTCTGGTGGACGGAACGCTTTATAGAGACAAAGAGGACTTGAGGGATGGTCAAGTAACTGAAAGTTAGCATTCGCTGTCAACAACATCTGAAAACGCAAACGAGAGCTGAAGTACGTGATTACCGCCCTGGTCAATAATTGCCGTTCTTTATTTCACAACTTAATAAGATTGTGCATACGCATAGCATTATTACCGCTTATCGAAACAATATAAGCTTATCGCCTCCTCGTTCGAACGAAGTATCGCATACACTTGTGCATTTCGCATTGACACAAATATGGCGTGGGACAGCAGTTCTTAACCCCTTGTCTATGGGCTGTGATCATTCGCGATTACTTAGGGTAAACGTAGTAAAACTTTTTCCTTCGAGGATTCGCGTGCCTGCGGATGCAACGTAAACAAAAATATTTCCACTATGAGCTGAACATCAGAACAGTAAACGCTTTCTTAGTTTTTTTTTATCATGTGTACAAAAGAAAAGTGGAGTAGACGGACTAAGCCAATGCGATATGGCTTACATATCTAGATTAACAAAAATTTATAATACTTTGGTGTTTATATGCAGTTGGACTAAAATGTGGAATTTTATCTTTTAATTAAAAAAGTTAGCCCTGCTGCAAGCCTAGGATGATTAAAAAGATATTTTACAAAAGCTTCAGCAAGATGAAAAAAACAAAAACAACAAATTATCGAAAACAATATTTGAAAGTAACAAAATTAGAGCGATATATTCGCATTTACAATGAAGCATGGTCAAGTAAACCCTAAAATATAACGTGTCGTGTTGGCAAAAGCTTTGGTAACCCTGTTGTGGAATCGGGGCGGTTTATATACCGTACTTGTGGAATCCGGGCGGTTTATATATCGTATTGTGGAATCTGGGCGGCTTATATACCGTACTTGTGGAATCTGGTCGGTTAACTTGTGGAATCTTGCCATCACATGTTAATTTCAAATAAATTGTTTCATTTCATTGTTTCAGTAGTCTCGTTGTTGTTGTCATCTTCGTTTTGCTTCAATTCTTCAGCGTCTAATTAATATTTATTGCTTATAGTGCTGCCACTTCTTTAAAAATATACGCAGTAGCTCTTATTGTTATTTTATTTATATGTATTCAGAAAGCAATACAAAGCGCTTCAAGAGCCAATTCAACACATTGAAGTAACTACAGCTAACACACTGTACAATTCCCACTGGGTCGATAAAGTTTAAACTTAACGCTATGTATATAAAAGTAATAATATTCCAAACTTTACCATAAGAGATAAAAAACTCAATAAGCACAATGGCAGTAAATAAAGTGCATATCTGTTGGATTAAACAATAAATGCATTTATCCAATAAATACATAAACTAACTTTAAAAAAATAGTGAAAATAGGTACCGCTGACACTCTACAGCTTAAAATAAGTAGAGTGCCAATATAGTCCGCAGTAAGCAATTTAGCTCCCCAGCCATAGAAAATAGGTTCAAAATAAAATTAAAATATTCAGCACTAAGTCCTCTAGTGGTACCATATCTTCTTTCGCCTTTCGTTTTTGTCATATCGCCTGGTCACATACTCCAATATATTAGGGAAATAAAGCCCACAGTAATATGAGCAAATAATATATTAAATAGCTTAAGCTGAAAGGCGTCACTAGAGTGAGAAAAAGTGCTTAGTGCAGGTAGTAAGTAGTTGCAGCAACCCGCTACACGGAACAAAAAAGAATTCTCAAAGCAGCTACACCTAATCAACAGCACAGAAACTTGTGGATTCCTAGTAGAGTTCATAAAAACAAATTCAAAGCATAGATTAAAAGTCACGCCACATATAACTACCGGATAAAAATGTGTAAGTCTATGCCATAATCAAAATGTTGCAAATGTGCATTCCAAGAACTGCTTAACATACTCAGACATATGCTCCATACCAAGTAGACTATACACATAACGTACCATAGAATTCACAATTCGACTAAGCTTCAAAAAGTCCCATACAGGACTTGGGGCATCACTAGAGCATGAGCAGGACAGAATTTAATGCACTGCGGTAAATAGATATAATTGGAATAAATTGATGGTAAGGTGCCCACAACTTTCCCATGAATGAATTTAATATATTTCTCAACGGTGAGGTTGTTATCAATACATATACCTAAGCACTAATGTAGGTAAACAATTGCAATGTAGGATACACCAATAAAGATCCTTAAGTGGGAACCGAACCAATTCGCATTCCCAAAAAGCACAGCTTTAGATTTAATCAGGTTAATCAACAAGGAATTATCTATAGACCACTTCCAAAACAGAATCTTGGTGTACCTCGATGTATACTCGACAAGTAGTCGAATAAGCACGGTTAATATCAACAAATTGAGATCTCTGAGTTAAGTACGAGTATACTGGCTCACACGTCGATTTAGAAAATCCAAACTACCCAACTAGCTTCATAATAAGTCCCCAACGATTTCCGTTGTTGAATACCTTCGATAGATCCAAAGCTGCTAGCGACGTTTTAATAGTATTTGTTAAGATTATCTATAGGCTCGTGGTACTATGCTCCCGACGGAACACATACTGGAACAGTGAAATAAGTTTCAGCACAGCAGCAAGAATCTGGTCCTTTGAATGCAACAATCTTGGAGGTAGCCGGAAGAATTCAAATAGGTCTCAGATCATCAATAAAACGGACCGTTTTAACTTTAGACATAGACACAGCACATGGCCTCTTCCAATTCAACGGAAAAACCGACTGTGCCAATACGGAATTAACAAGAAACTTTACCAATTTCACAATAAGTGAAAAGATAAGTATGATGAAGAGAAGAGGAGGAAGAGGAAATCAGCAAGTGATTTAGATTTGATTTTGTGAAGTACTGCACTCAGCTCTTGGCATGATATACAAGAAAATGAGAAGGATCCCTGAAAATTCAGATTTTATCAACCGGCAATTTACAATTCGGCACATCTACAAAATGATCATTCATCTCCTCCACATCAAAACTAAACGGAGAGTAATTTTCCTCAGTGAAAACCGATCTCCTTAACATCCTTTAAGTAGTAAAGGGGTCCACACCCACAAACACGTTGATAAAATATTGGCAATAAACTCGTCAATCATCTACAGATCCAGGAGATTAAAAAGTCGAGTATGGAGGGACCGCTTGACATTACTACACGTCACCCACTTATCAGTCTCCCTGGGGATAACTTTTCTGACAACAGGAACAAAAGAATATAACATTTTCAAAAGCAACCACAAAGCTCCGACTACACCCCAACGCTCGCGATATTCAGAAAATTGGTTGACTCATGCAAAGACCCCACCCCAATTAATGTTTAAGGTCCTTGTATTCAATCACGGATAAGACGTATCTACGCTTGATCATAAAGTTGCCATAGATCAATGCATGATAAGACATGAAAGAGCATTGCACCTGATTAGAAAAGTTAAGCAAGGCATCATCACAAAGCGGCCAATAGTCAAGTAGTGACGTAGTTTGGTGCGCTAATTCCCAGTGACTATGTGTCATATTGCGCGATATAGTATCCTTACACCTCAAGGAAACAGATCTAATAACATTAGCTTTGCTTACATCGAAGACGTTGTAATTAAAATCACCAACGATAATAATATTCGAGTACTTCGTCAATAGCTCTAAATGACAAATTGTCACATGCTGGGCATAGATGGTCATTGAAATAGATGCGCCGCTGCAGAATCTCTTGAGTAAATTTAGCGTCATTTACACAGTTCACAGCATAGAATTGGCGTACTTTCATGTTCTTAAAGTATTTGCCCAGGAACACGTCCCGCAGCTCAATCGAATTCAGTTTAACCATAACAGTTTTATTATTCTTCATATAACTAGCAAAGCTAATGTCACGCGGTACAAGTCACTGAGTAGTGCTCTTCTTTTTTGAATACAGTTCCAGGTATGTCATTAAGACCTTCAGGCAAGCCTTTTTTCTATAAAATCAACAATTGCAACAAGTTTTTTTTTTATTAAAAAAATACCAGGAAGCGTATTATTTATTGCAAAAACAACACAGATTTTTAAGGACGCAGGTATTCACATCTCAAGGAAAAGGACCCGAACACTCGAACAGCTATATTATATATAATGTATCATGGTAAATGGAGTCGTTCGCCTGGAATATAGAAGAATAGACAATGCTACTTTTCATATATGTTATAATATTGTATTAATTCAATTGGTCATTTTCATATTCTTTATATTTCAATGATATCCTATGACTGCGCGAAGTTTTTTACTAGTCATATATTGCTGGTGAAAATTTTTCGGCAATATGTAAATTAAGTTTTAGCGATGAATAAAATGAAGAAATGATGGAACAAAATTAGTAAAAGCTAATCTTTTTTATTGTTGCTAACAAGATAATATTTTGCCTGTATGTTTCCTTTCAAGTGTCAAACAATTTACTTTAAGAACAAGGTGTGATTTACTTCTTACTTCTTACCATACATGCTGATACGATCACATAAGATTAAAGAAATTTTAAATCCGTGGTTAGAGAAAATTTAGTTTAAACACTTAAATCTAACAGGGGCAGTTATTGAGGATGCAATAATTCGCCGGAGGTCTATGTGTTCGTCAATGGAGATAGTTGTGGGGGCAAACATACATGACAATGAAACTCGAAACTATTTTCCTGATTATTTAATTTCATTTCGGGGCTATATATTTAATAGGCTTTTGAGCTTACGATAAAACCATACGTGCTCCGAATGCAATTGGTTGTAGAATTCGGCAAAAACTGACAGTCATCAAGAGACAATTTGAAAAATGGTAGATGGATCGTAGCAAACAAATTATCGCCAGTTAATTTAGGGCCGCGGAAGTGCCCGAAAAAGGTAACGTTGATATTGATTCGAACTGTTTCGACAATGCTGCGTCCGACTATTCCACCAGCTATGGTCATCGCAGCGAATTTGCAAAATGTACAGTAGCGTTGGATAAGTGGAAGACCTTCAAGGAAGCAGCTCAAAATAATACACAAGTAGTTGAAAACTCTTTAGCCGACATAAATATCAAATAAAGTATTTTGATTTTTAGTGAAAATAAAATTCTTTGTATACATAAAGATTTATTACGGCAAACGGATTGATATTTAATATCGTTTTTCATCCATCTGTTATGTTCGCCTATAATTGTTTCACTGCGGAACATAGAAAAATTGGTAAAAAAGTAAATAATTAGAAACAAACGTGTTAATACACACATATTTTTATAAATAAAATTAGGAGGCACATATATGACCAAAAATTATAGAATACATAAAAATAGGACCAGAGCAAGAAAAATAACCTTTCGTTACAACCTCTTTAACTGTACTGCTAAGAAAATTAGCTGATAAGCTAGCCAAAGATATTTTCAATTTAAGTTTGTTAATGGCTGGGACATTAGACGTTACATGTGAAAACATGTGCACAGTTGAAAACTTTACAACGTTTAGATAAACTAATCCTAGATGTCAAGGACTTCCTCTATGTCCACTGCTTACACGAAAGCAGCAAAGGTTAAAAAGTTTATAAATTTGTTGCTTAAAGCTCATGAGAAACGGCTTTTAGTTCATCCATTAGAGAAGGGGGGACATGTAATGAGTCAACATTAACTGCGGTGACATTAGACATATAATGTTGGTTATTATGAAGACTTAAGAGTTGCTTCAAGTCACGGCGTAATTCCTCAAAATTTGCTTCCAATTTATGTAGACTTGGAACATACTGATTACTGCGTGCTATCAAATCTAACACCGTACTTGTTTTAGGCCGCTTACTACATGCCGCTGATTGTTGGATTAACTAAAATATAAAAGAATTAGTAAAACTTATACTGCTATTTCTACACTTTATATTTTTACCTTTTTGTAATCATCAATCAAATTTGCCACTTCGTGAACAGGTTCTTCGAATAGAACAGATTTTCCTATATCGGAAGACTCGAATTTTTTTCTTTCCCATTCCAAAGCAACTTTAAGTTCCTGCAAGAAAAGTTCAACCTTTCATCAATTAGTCTTCAAAATTCCAACTATGAAACTTACTTTAATCGTCTGTTGACTTTGTTCATATTTTAAACGCATTTCATCCAATGTATGTTGATTTTTTTGCATTTCACATAATTCCTCAGCTGTCCGGGATTGCTCGAATTTTAAAAAAATTGCCTCTTGCTCCTGTATTTTAAGCGAGTGCTTCAAGGATTTCACGTTACTTAGCAGCGAATGAATGTGGTGGTCATACCGTTGCATCTTACGCTCATACTCTGATTCCAGAACTTTTGTTAGTATACGTAAATGGTCTTCACTCACGCCGCTTTTATCGACGGCCATTTCCCTAGCATTATCTAACGATTCGTAGTCATATTCCATTTCCGGCATGATTAGAGCGAGTCGTTTAGCATCCTTTAGTTGCTTTAATTCCAGTTCCACTTCTTTAAAGCGTTCACTGAGGTCTTGCTTTTCCTCTATAGTTTTAGATATTTGAACCTTAAGCGTAAATATTTCGTTTTTGTAATCATTTAACTCAATAGAGTAATCTTCGCTTAAACTACTACGCAAGCGTTCGTTAAATGCCGTTAAAGTTGCATTAAGTTCTCTTTGTCTTTCCGTTTCATGTTGGCAATCATTTATTTGCTGTTGCATCACACTAATTTCCTGTTGGAATGCTTCTTTGAGTGTTTTGTTTTCCTGTTGTCTTTTATATTCGAGAGCGGCAGCAAAGTCTTCCAATTTTCTTAGCTCTTCATTCTGTTGCGCAAAGACTTCATTGAGATGTTCCAACTCCATGCTCTTTAGCTCTAATTCATGTTTTGTATGTTCTTCCATAATTTGCGCTGTTTGTAAGGACGCTAGCACCTCTTCCCAGTCCTTTTGATTTTGTTGTATGTTTGACATTTTTACATCTTGCAAATTCATCAATTTATTTAGCACTTGTATGCGTCCTTCCCTCTTTTGTGCGTCCCCCTCAACGAGTCTTCCAAACTTGAACTCCAATTTTAATACTTTTTCTCTCAGTTCGTTAACTTCATTGTTTTCGTTTATTTCATTCGATTCGTTTACAATCATGGTGTCAGTTTGCACAGCCTTGCTTTGCTTGGGTGAGCGATGTTCATTTAACATTTTCAAGGATTCTTGCAATTCCTCTATCGAATTACGTTCGCTCGTTAATTGTTCTTCGATTTCAGTCTTTAATTGAATTTCAATTTGTAATGCTCTTTTAAGTTGAGTTCTGTCCATCTCTAGAATATTCAGGTCAAAACTCGTCCCCAACTCGTTAACTGTACGCTGTATTTTATAAATTCTACTATCACTGATTAGTAATTGTGTACGCAATTTATTTATGTCTCCCCGATGTTTAATAAGAATTTCTTCAAAATCTTTGCATTTTAATAATTTCTCCTTGATTTCTTCTTTCAACTCAAATTCTTTTGTTTTTATTGTGATTTCAAAAAGTTTTCTTCGGAGATTTTCGTTTTCATTGACTAATTTCTCAAAATTCAGTTCATGTGACTCCCCAGAGTTTCTTCTTGGAACTTTATATAAGTTTTGACTTGATTGAAGTACTTCCAATGGTAAAGTTTCATTGTGTTTGATGCAATTTTGCAACTTTTCATGTGCATCTGACAGATAGTGGAGGAGATTTTCTGTTCTATGTTCATTTTGACTTTCTTCTTTAAATTCCTTTCGAATATCATTACGACGTCCTTTTAAGAAAGAGTTTTCGGTCAAAACTACTTCTAGTTGTTGCTCAAGTGTTATGATTCTTTCACTTAATTGTAAAGTTTGCTCCACATACAGTTTTAATTTATCTCTTAATACTAAAATGTCTTCTTGATCTTGGGCAGATCTAAATTTTAGTTTATTTTGTTCTAATTCTAGCAACTGCAATTCGAAACGGGTCCGTTCACAGAGCTTTTCGACTATATCGTATTTGTCTCTGCTGCATCGAAGTTCTGCATTGAGCTTTGCCACTTCATGTTGTGCTCTTGACAATTTTTCGTGAGTTTCCTCTTTTTCGGCTTTTAAACGCTCCGCATTTGTTTGCATATCTTGCAGTTGTTGATCCTTAATTACTTCGGTGTCTTTTAGATTATTCAATTCGCACAGACAAGTTTGCAATGAGTGGCTTATTTCCTCAATCGTTCTTTGCTGTTCCTCGTTTTGCATTTGCGGATCGGTAAGGGCATTAATTTCTTCTTCCAGTTCATTAACTTTACTTTTGAGTTCTATGATCTCGGATGTTTTTGCTTTGATTTGTTCATGCCATGAAATACTTAATTTATGGATTTCATTCACATCCAGTTCATGCTCCATATTCATTCGGAAATTTTGTTGTAACTCTCCCATTTTTTGTTCTTTGCTTTTCACTAAATCTTTTTGCATCTTCAATTGATATTTTAAGTCTTCAAAGTTCCGTCGCAAATTAGTATTCTGCTCTTTAAACTCCAGGAGTTCATCGCTTTGTTGTTGCAAATTAAATTGCAATTGCTCTTGTGCTTCTGCATAAATTTTACATTTGTTGGCAATATTGCTACTGTCGGTCTCCATACCGACCAGCAATCTTTGCAATTCCAATACTTTTGCATCTTTATCTTCCGACAGTAATCTTAAATCGTCCAGTAATCCTTGCTTTTGTTTTCTTAAAACATTAATCAAATGTTCCTGGTCTTTTATTACAATCTGCTGCTGATCAATTTCAAAATTGTGTGATTTTCCCTTTGAGTCAAGATCTTTATTAGTTTCAAACTTAACTTTTCTTCGGGAATCTTTTAAATGGTCATTTTCCAGTTCAGTCTCTAGAGCATGACACTTGTCGTACAATCTCACGCATTCTTGCTGCAATTTATGATTTTCTTGCAAATATTTGCTTTCCCTAGTATAAATTCCTTTTAAATCCGTTAAACGTGCCAGCTTTTGATGCCTTAATTCCTGCTTATACCATTGTTCAGACTTATTCAAACGCTCCAGTTCGCTGTGCAATTTATGCACATCGTGTAAAGCTAATGCTAAAGATCCTTCACGTTCTTCCATTGACATTAAGCTACAATCACTGGCATCAGAACACGCCGTGTGAAAGCCTGAATCCAAACTTCTCAGAAGACAAGTCATTTTTGAACTTTGATTGAACTGTTGCGAATCAGTTGATAGACGACATTCACTTGAATTCCGATGTCCTTCACAGGCCATGTTGGCTAAATCGATTATATTAGGCACTTAATTTAGTCAACGGACTGCAACAACGACCTTGAATTTGGCCTACCAAATATAGTTTTAGTTAAATATAATTTCTATTTTGGGTTTAGTTAAGTTAAATAAAAACCTGTTTGTGTACCCATTAATATTCCACGTCACAGTCCGAATACTCTGTAGTCTTGCAGCAACACATTTATTTTATTTAAAGGCAGACGTTCGATCAGAATTGTAATTTAATTATCATTTATAAGAAATTGAAGTGGATGCTACTTCTTCTTCCTCTGTTATTCAGCAATTTAACAACAAAATTCGCTGAGATGTGTAAAAACGCCTAATGTAAACACAGTTCCTTGTTTGGGCCTTAGTAACATTAAGGTTAGATTTGCTTTATAATATTATTATTTATTTGCTTCAGTGTGATAATTTGATTAAAGTTTTTTTTTAATTTTGTGTGTTATGCGTCCGTCACATTATTTTTTTTATAGTTTTTATTACGATATGCATATTACTCGTCCGTCACGTAGGACCAAACAGAACAGCGAGGAGTGTATTCCCTTGTGCAAGAAGTAATGTAGTGCATGAGTAAAGAGTGTCATATAAGTGTGAGAGCACAAAAGTGTAAAAAAGTGTAGGTCCATAATTCGACTGTAAACGCTTATATATTTTGATGACATAATTTAAAAAAAGAAAAGATTACGAAGTAAGCTGTTAAATTGTGAGAACGCAAAATGTCAATGACTGTTGCCATCACGAAGGCCACATATGCCAAATGGCGAATAGCAGAGATAATATTTGGACAGACAAATAGGATATGTTCTGGAGATTGTAAGACTCCGTTCAGTCTGCACTTGTGGACAAACTCTCACTATAAAGCACATTCTCTGTGACTGCCTTAACTTTACCTTGGCTAGAAGTATTGCATTTGGAAGGATTAACTCTATGGACATTCTACAATCAGGTGAAGAACAGAATATCAATACAATACATTACTTTATGAAAACTACTAGACTGAATATCTAATGCACTTTTATAAATTAGAGCCAATAGCCTGTATTGCTAGTGCTCAATGTCTTTTTTTTTAGTCTAAGAATTTATTTCATTAGTCTAAAATTATAAAAACAGTAATTTATTTATTTATTTATTTATTTTAATTCTACTTATACATGAAACTCAAATAAACAAATAACAGTCGAGTTCAATTGGCACTTAAAGCAATACTTATATTAAATTAATAATAAAACTTAGTATAAGTACAATAAAACAAATAAGACGGAAAGAAAAAAAAAAAAAGAGAAAAAAGCATGTACACAACCAGCATAGAGCTACACTCACAACCGGTACAGGACCAAATTGCAAATGAACCCCTAAGCCATCGCAAACATGCATAAGCCTGGCAACCGATAATACTTAACAACAATTCATTTTCCAATCGTAACCACTTTTAAGGATAAAAACTAGTTTAAGTAAGAAATAGGTAAATCGCTCGTATTAAGCAATGTTGCTTTAATGGACTTTAAAGAGTCCGATCACGAGAATAAGTGGTAGACGTCATTTAGGTTCTTGCAAACTACTCTGAGCGGATTGAACAGCTCATAATTATATTTACACTGACTAAGCTTAACCAAGATAAAGTGCCTAGAGAAGCGGTTAGGGACATTAAAGCTTATTTCACCAAGTAATAAAGGCGAGTCAATAGCACCATTTATTACTTTGATTACAAAGGAAACGCCAAGAACAAACCTACGTCTCTCAAGAGACGGTAAGGACATCAGAAGCAACCTATTTTCATAGGGAGGAAGAGAGGCAATCGGATCCCAACCCAAATTTCTAAAGGCAAACAGCAAGAATTGCTTTTGAATAGATTCAATTGAATCTACGTAGCACCTATATGAAGGGGACCACACAACAGAGGCATACTTGAGTGTAGGTCTAATCAAACACATGTACAGCCTTTTCGTAATGTAGGGATCATCAAGCTCTTTGGACCACCTTTTTATAAAACCAAGCGCGGACCTAGCTTTGCTTAACGAGAGCTCAATATGCAAGTTGAAACGTAACCTATGGTCAAATAGAACGCCTAAATATGTGATCGAATCGACGTCCTCCAACTTATGCGAGTCTATGAAATACTGAGTAATGAATGACTTTCTTCTTGAGAAAGAAAGCTTCTTACATTTGCTCAGATTTAGTTTCAAAAGATTTACAGAGCACCATGCAACAAAATTATTTAAGTCACCTTCAAGCTGATGTGATTACGATTCAACAGAAAAGGAAGAAAAAAGTTTCACATCATCAACATACATTAAGATCTGGTTGAAATTAACCATCGATGGAAGATCGCGAATGTATAAACTAAATAAAATGTGAACTAAATGACTTCCTTGAGGTACGCCAGATATAACGGGGAATTCATCCGAGGTGGTAAAGTTGAACAAAACCCTGAAGGATCTGTTGTGCAGATAAGAGCTTATCCATTTCACTAAATAGAAAGGGAAGTCAGAGGCTTGGAGTTTAAAGATAAGTAAGTTATGGTTAACCATATCAAACGCTTTGCTTAAATCAGTGTATATCACATCTGTGCGAGAGCCACTAGAAAAAGCCTTGAAAACATGACAAGTAAACTCTAATAAGTTAGTGACTGTAGACCGCCCTCTCCGAAAGCCGTGCTGGTGCGGAGAAATATACGAATTAATGGCAAAGGCCAAATGCTGAGTCACAATTCGCTCGAACAACTTGGGCAAGACACTCAACTTGGCTATGCCTCTGTAGTTCTCAACAAATTGTCTACTTCCACTCTTGTGAATAGGAAAAAGGAAACTACTCTTCCAACACGAAGGGAAAACACCTAAATTCAAGCACAGGTTAAAAATCTTTGAGATCACACAACATAACTCGACAGCGCAAGATTTAAGTACATATGATGGAATTCCATCAGGTACTGGCGCAAAACAATATTTTAGTGAACCCAACCCTTCAAAAACATCATCTTGAGCAATAACCAAATTAGGTATTGAAACCAAGTTAGTTATAGGATATGGGTAGTTTGCGGATAAATCGAAATTAGCAGTTGAAAAGTTTCGTCGGAAGAACTCAGCGAACAGATTTGAGATTTCAAAATCATCCGAGTAATCAGAGCCATTAAAAGAAACATGAGAGAGATATGTGGAACTTTTTCCTTTAAAGTTAACAAATTGAAAAAAGTATTTAGGATTAGCAAACAGAGAGGATTTAATGAACTGAAGGTATCTGCAGTAATAAATCTATGCCTCGCCACCGAGTAAGCGACATAGTCGAGCGCAGAGCCACTTTTCGAATATTTTTTGAATAGCGTGTTTTTTCTATTCTTGTAATATTTAATTGTCTTATTAAACCAGGGGGACACCTGCTTCGAGATCGGCACTGCTTAATCGGAGCAGATGCAGCAATAGCTAGATTTAATGTATTGTAGCACGATGACAATAAGCTTTCAATAGTTCCGGTTGAGAAATCAAGCCTCATATGTGAAAGACGATGTTTTAGCAATACAGTATTGGTTTTATGAAAATCATAACATTTATTCAAAAAGTTTGATTCGGCGCATTAAGGCAGTTCAACGAACCATCATTCATATGTTGAAAGTAAATGCACATTGATCGATGATAAGGGTCCTCAGGTAAATTAAAAGGTGGGAAACGATTTACGTTAATCTCAGGAAAGTTGGCAAAGCAGAGATCAAGCAGTCTACCATTATAATTAGGGGTACGATTATATTGAATAATAATAATAATAATAATAATAATTTCCGGTATTTTATACATTTTGCGAATGATTTTGAGAGCAATTCGTAGTGTGAGATGTGATGGAGTGCAAATGTGTGTGTGTTCTCGTGAAAAGAAAAAGAATATTAAAATATTGATTGTACCTTTTGTCTCTTACTCATTGAAGCGCCGCGTAAAATAATAAATTTCCATTTCAGAGTTATGTCGATTTGTCCTTTCATATTCGTTTTTGTTACCAAAGAGCCTGTAAACGTGTATGCGTAAAGGTAAGGCATGGGAAAGAAAGGAAAAAAATTTATATAACTGTTTTGTTTTTTTAAAAGGAACAGTAAACATGGGCCCGACTTGATTGGCAAAATATCAGCAAATACAATAGTGAAAAACCAAGAAGACTTCCGGTACGGAAAACTATATCTGTGATATAATGACATCTTCAATCGTCATGGTTTTAAGAATTTCAACAATTAGTTTTATAAAATTGAAATTACAGGAATTTCTTTAGATTAACACGTTAAGGAATATGAAGAAAAATTTTAATGACGCAGTTTATAAATTCAAAGCAAAAGAGACTTCAATTTATTGACAAATCATAAGGATTTCCATGTATATACACAAATAAAACAAAAAAGAAAAAAGCACAAGAAGAAATGATGAGCATTCTTTTTTAATTTTAAAGTTGTTTATCCAATTTATATTTATCTTATTTATGTATGGTTGTATTTTGTAATATTAGTTACAACTGCGACCCTGTAGAAGATTGGGTTGTTAATCTAGCTCAACGGTAAATGTAATGTAGTTGAGGGTAAGCTTTTGTCAACTTGGGACGAAGAAAAAGGAGAAATTGGCTTTTTGTTGGTTGAGGGAAGCGATCAAAAACGGAGAGAAAAATCTTATACGTCGAGAAAGTGTAATTGAAATTTAAAAAGAATCTCTGGTGAAAACGGTTAATAAACGTCCATGACAATGTTTGTGTTGTATTTTTCCATAAAGTTTCAGTGGTTTAAATGGTTCAAAATATAACAAGGAATCGAACTGAAAAATATTATATTTGGGTTGATGCTATTTTTAATTTTTTCGTTATTACTTGAGCTATTGCAAGTAAAGGCATGAACGGAAAGAAAAGTAAACAAGTTGAAGAAAATAAATAGAGTCGAACGGAAAATAGTGGGATTATGATTGGAAAAATTATAAACATTTGATATGAAAGAAACTGCGCAAGTAATAATGTACTAGAAATACAAAAACTTTCCGCTGCCAAAATATTCTATGTATAAATAACTCATCAAAATGTGAATAAAACAACTGTATCAAAGCAATTCAAAAGCGAATCAATTTGCTAAAGACTCATAGGCGTTCCATCCGCCTTATAAATTTTACTAGGGACTACTTCATGCCTAGCTCGTCTGGCATTTACAAAGAAGCAGACAAACTTGGCGCATTGAAGCCGAGCAGCTTAGGGCTAAAATCCAACAACACTTACTCACACTTTGGGAAAGATTCATAGGGTATCTTCCCACAAACAAATATTTAAACGCATCCTATCCTTAAATTCATTACAATATATATTATGTACACAAATAGCATTAGATTTTAGTAATCTATGAATTCCATGGTTTCCAAAAATTGTAGGCATACATGTTATATGTAAAAATGCATGGACAATAAGATGATTAAAAAGAGGATACTGCTAAAACTATGTAACTTATTGTTTTATCGTAAAAACGTAAACATGATGATAAACAAAAAGTGCCTTTATCTGAATGGATAGTGAACGAGATGAAATAAATATATTGTACTTAAACTCAAAAACACCTAATAAAATAACTCTTAATTTACACTGCCCTGAAAACTTGATGATCCAATTTTAAGTAAAGCAAAGAATGCATCGAACGTATAAATTCGCAAAGTTTTAATTCTGCAATATCAACTTTACGTAGCCGCGAATCGAGCGAACCCAGCCAGCAGGTCACTTTGCTGATTCATAATCCTCTGTAATAAAACAATAGAACACGAAAAAACTTATGAATATAAAAATGGAATGCAGTAAATGGAATAAATTTTTTCTTTTTTTGTGAGCGAGGTACCTTACGGGTCGTCGCCCCCAACTTCCGGGTGTCAAGGTAGCGTACAGAATGGGCCAGGATTTACGATCTGCAGTTCGGTAAGTAGGTTTTGTCCGACCGTTTGTTTTTATAAGAGTAAAGCACGGGTATTTCTTTTAAATATAATCCTGTATCCCCCCGAACAAGCTAGCTCAGCAATGACACCTGCGTCCGTCTCATATAGACAGACGTTCAGAATTCACGGGCATTGAGTTACAAGTAATGCACTTTTTTATATTAAGTGATTTGCAGTACTGAATTGTATTATGCATTACTTTGCAAAAACTTAAAAACAAGTAGTAAAGACCATCTATTTTAAAGTTGAAATAAATTGATCAAATTGTTTTATTAGATAAATAAATGATAATTTGTAAATTATGGATCATTTAATACGCAAAAATATATCTAATACATATATTTATATATATCTAATTAAGGTTCTTCACAACTAAACAATAAAAAACTATTTTTTTTTTAATTAACTTTCTTATTGCTATTTTTTATAAGTTTTTTTGTTTATGGTTACGCTGATTACATAATTTCTGATTCTACGATCATGGGGATAACCACGTAAGCGAGTACCGCTAAGGGGTTAATCAGGTACCATTGTCGCCAGCCTTCCAATACTTCCTCGCGAGTTTTTCATTATATGCATTAATTATTAAGAGAAACGTAAAAAATGAGAGCCAAATTAACGTTTACTTGTTTGTATAAATAAACTACATATCGTGAATATTAACAATCATGCAAAATGAAATGAATAGAAAATAATGTAGAATTTGTGTTAGACTATATTTAGCTTAGTTTAACTCAACATTTAAAAAAAAAAATTGTATTTACTTTTACCAATTTTTTTTTTCTTCACAGTTCACATATATAATTTCAGACCCATTCTTTTTTTTAATATTTTAAAATTTTTGAATTAATAATTCATTTTACAGTAGACATTTATATTTATATTTGCCTTTTGCAGCTGTTTTTTTTGCATCGCAACTTAAAAACAGAGATTTATAGAAACTTTGCTTAGTTTATACTCAATACTAATGCAAATTTGTTCTCAGTAACAGCAATTTTATTGACGCCAGATTTGACGTAACTGACAAAGCTTATTTGGCGACACTCACCAGAAAATTTGTCAACATGATTAGATTCTCTTGGCGATTATCGCCTACTCCATTGTCGCCTGCCTACATGATTGCTCGCCATATTCTTTATTTACATTTTTCTGTAACAATATAGTAGGGCGCCATTGCGGCGCCACATAAATCCTTAGCATTTCCATTAAATTTGTTAGTTTCAGTTTCAACTCAAGGCAATCAGTAACGTGCAACACAAAGGTAACGGAAATACTATATTCTACTCTACTTGTCGAAATGAAATTAAAAGCGCGGTAATGTTTTTTAGAAAAGCACATCTTTGCTTAGTAAAAAAATATTCATAGTTGATAAAAGTACTCCTATTCAGTGTTCAAATATTTTTTCGATTTTTTCTTTAAATTATTTGCGCTTCTTTTTTCTTTTTGTGTTTTTTTGAAGTGGTCATCACTTATACTTGACAACAACAGCAATGATCATTGTACAAAACAAAAAAAGATGTAGAAAATTGATTTATATTGGACTTCTGGCTCTTGCAGTTTTTCTTGTTTTCTGGGCTTATTCAAGTTCTCAAAGTGCAATGGCCACTTGCATTTTTTGTGACATAATTAGTGGTAAATCGCCAACCAAATTTGAAGTCGAAACTGACGATTATGTTATATTCAAAGACATCAAACCAGCTTCCGATCATCATTACTTAGCCGTGCCAAAGCGACATACTGAAAGTGTCGTCGCTCTGACCAAGAATGACATCGAAGTTGGTATGTATTAAACTATTTCGCATCTACGACGTAGATATGAGGTGTAAAAGTAATAAATGAGGAACAAAGTAATAATCAGATTGTTGCCTGCTTCTTAAAATTTTGATAATTTTTGTTTTAATTTTTTACGTAAACATCTTATTTTATTTTAGAAAAAAAGCAAAATAAGTTTCGTTGTTATATTTAAATCAGGCTTTTACAATCAAATTTATGTTGTACCGTATCAAATATTTGTTTCCCTTATTAATACTTTGTGAACGAATCCGCAATAAGATTTGTCACATTGCAATACAAAGCTGTTTATTTATTCAATATATCATATACATATAATCAATTTATGGTTTATTTGAAATTATAGTGAATACTTTGGAAAGTGGCATGCGAAAATTTCTCGCTACGAAAGGTATCGAATCCAATCAAACACTACTTGGTTTTCATATGCCGCCATTTATAACCGTCAAACATTTGCATTTGCATGGCATAGCACCCCGTTCCAATATGTCTTTCCTCATGCGGTTCATTTTTAAACCCCATTCCGCGTGGTTTAAATTAGTAAGGTTACGAACCGTATAATGAATATAACAAATATATTCTTTGATTTTTTTCTTTCATTTTATAGGTAGATGAAGCCAAAGAATATTTGCAAAACAAGTCGTAATGTACCGAGACCATGGAAGTGTTGGTTTCTGAACTGCGTCCAATTGTATATAGAAAAATTTTTAATATAAATTATTAAGTTGATATATTTCCAAATATAAATTTTCGTTAAGGAATCAGTGATACAATGGATATGAAAGAGTCGCTTCGTTTCAACTTAAAATTGGAATTATCGATATTTTGTTGCTGTAATATTTCGCTGTTATTAGTGATTTTTATTTTCCGTCAACTATAAACATTTTCCTTTTTAGTGACAAGCGAAACAAGAAAGTTTAATAAAACATTTTTCAAATTCTCACAGTTAACTAATCAATACCACTATATGTGGTTTTAGATAAAGTAACAAACGAATTTAGTGCGGTTTGTAGTGTGTTTTACAAGCAAAACCGCAAGACCAGTTTATCTGGGAAAACCCATTTCGGATTCGTTTCTTTGTTCCCAACAAACGGCGTAGTTCCAATGTCTGAAATTCATTTTGTTTCTTTAAAGTTTTGCTTAACGGTAAAATTACCATCCGACTTTTTTTTTTATTCACTTACAAGCCAAAGAAACTTTCTTTTCGTTTGAGTTTTTTTAATTTTATAGGTCAATCGGAGTAGAACTGTAGGATACGGAATTTTTTTTGAAAATTGTCACTGCTACTCCGTTTACTGTAACTACTTTAAAGCTAGTCACTTTTTTCTTTTTTTTAATTCAATTGACACAATTTCTGAGAAAGATGTGAACTAATGTTTTTGAAATTTTCCATCCTTGTTCTGTACATGATTGATTAGTGAATGAACGACGGTTTTTTCCTTTGATCACAATTTTTTTCAAGAAGGCGCTACAAGGTGTAGGCTTAACCTAAAACGGTACAATATTCTTTTTTATATGCAATCTGGCCAAAAATTCACATTCAAATTTTACGATTTATGCCCACTTCTGACGAAAACAAAGTTGAATTCCGACAGCTGCCATAAACTATGTTGGCAATTGTGCGGATCCTTCTTCCTAAGGTGGGTTCAAAGGCTGAACTTCAAGGACTTAATTTTTAAAATTTTTAGATGTATAGTAAGAATACTAAATTTTAGGCATAATCCTGGTATCTAATGGGAGCATCCGATGTCATTAAACCGTGCCTGTGCTGCAGGCTGCAGACATTGTAGATTAGAGTGCACTATTCTTGATACTATATTCTTTAAGCTACTACAATTTGTATTCAATTGCCTCAAATATTAGCTACAGTTTTAAAATAAACAAAGTCTTTTGTGCAAAGTTTTTTCTCGCAAGATTTTAAGTAGTGTTTTCACCAACATTTTTTTTTTTTTGGTGTATTGAAAAAGTTTAGAGAGACGGCAGTCATTACAGGCCTATATCTGCAGTAACAGAAGAAGTAGAAATCATCGGGCCGCAAGACAGCACGTGTAGATTAGTTGTGAAAGTGGAAATATGGTGAGAGTAAGCAAGGCCAGTACCATTAGTCTGGAAAGAGAGAAACCGGACAATAAAAGAGCAAGAAGAGGCTGAGAGCAGAGAAGGATAGAAGATAAATTTAACAAAAAGAAAGCTTGCCTGTTTTGATGAAAGCAGTTAGTTCCTTTAGAAGAGCATGATTCTGAGCGCAAAACATATGTAGGTTGTTGCACCTACCGAAAAAACCGAAAGTCAATCTAATGTTTTTTGCATCTAAAGATGAGCTGCTCAGTCGATTCAGTTGTTCGGCATGTGTCACGCTTATCATTTTCAAACGGCCGGATCATTAACATAAGGTTTGTCATAGGTTTGTTAGGCAGTATTGAATCTTTATCTCTTAAACCGAGAAACTTAAATAGGGCTTTGAGAAACATAGACGGGTATATTTTGTTTAAAGAGACGGTTCGCTTTTTCTTTTGTCAGTACATTCTATTCCCCATCTAGATCTCGGAGTGATATTTTTAATTTTGTGCAGAGCTTCTTGGATATATCCCAGATGTTATTTGCCCATCGAGATGCGCCTCAGGGACGTAGAGATCAGTCTTTTGACTGAGGTGAAAACCCGGCACCCAGAAAAAATAACATTGATCGATAAAAGGGTTATAACGCACATCGCGCATTTCAAAAACGGTTTGGTTTGCTGGGTCTTTCTTATTTATAAAGAGCAGAATCGATTTACTGTCTGAAAAATAACAACTTTTGCATATCAACTCGCTGTCGCTAGAACTATTGCTTGGTTAATGGCAAACAACTCAATGAGGGTAGCGAATAAATTTTCCAGAATTTTAAATTTACAGATGGCATCGTGGCCATATTTCACCACCGAGAAGATGGATGTCTCATTAATTACAAAGGCATCAGTGGCATAAATTTCAAAGCAATTGTTATGATAGGTCTCAAACTTTTATGGGCATAGGACTTTTAGAGAGATGCAAGAAGGACCCCTTTGGCCGATGCAAGCGACGTTAGGATGTGTAGATCTACCAAAAAGTTCTTATTCTCAGTGATGTGATCAGGAAAGCGGTTTAGTTTTTCAAAGATACCGCAAAATCTGCGGTAGCACAAAGTGTAACTTCATATGACCTTCTTGCTCAATCCGACGACTCTATTGAAAAAAGAGGGCCTTACAGTCTTAATTATGATTACCTCTTTGGCAGTAGGTAAGAGGGCTCTTTCGGTCACCGGAAATTCACCGAAGATAATTTTTAGTATGTGTAACGGCTTCAAGGAAGTAAGAGCGGTACATCGCCTTAAACGTGGATTTTTTTGGCTATGTACAGAGAGAGGTTGCAGGTGCCTGAATGTGCAAATTCAATTCTCAAACGGATCAAAGACTTGTAAATCACAAGCCTTTGGTTGGGGGCAGATCTAGATGTTTGTTTGTTAAAAGCTTAATTAGGTTGCAAACAGATTGACCATTTTTGAACGCATTTTCAAAATGATCGCGGAAGGTGAAACTGGAGTTAATGGAAATACCAAGGAACCGAAAGGACGCGCATTGGTTGGATATGCCCACTTTGACCAACAAAAAATTATTAGCATATTGGAATATGTGGGTTTTAGAATTTTGCAGCTGGTGTGAGTTGGTCTTGTACAGGTTGAATAGAATGGGGCTTAGGCGGCTGCCTTGCAGCAAACCAGCTTGCACAACAACCGAATCAAACAACAAAGAACGTTTTGGCAGAGGGTTTAGAAGGAGGAAGTGGAGGGGGATCTGAAGTAGCATTAGCGTTTTTGAAATTGTTTCAATGTTGACACAGTCATATGTCTTGTTGATGTCAAGAGACAACAAGACAGTCTTTCTGCCAGCTCTTTTTTCACTGTTGATTAGTATGGAAAGTTCATTGACACACATAATTGTCAAATTGTGTTTTTGGTAGGCAAAGGAGCTGGAGGGAATGAAAATAAGGAGAGAGGTAAGCGTTTCTTTGATGATAACATTTGCAATTTCTAATAACACTGATAAACGGGCAATTGGCTTGAAGTTTATAAATGCCATGACTTCTGCCAGGTTTCAGGATCGAAGCGCTTCAATTATCAGAAATATTGTTGGCCAACCAACATAGCGACTTTTCTTCGAGAGACACCTGACCATATCGTATTTGGTTCCATCGCACAAAACAACGGAAGTTTTTCTCTAAGAATTCAAAAATTGAGAGAAGTCTTTGAATAAGAAAGGGCCGATATTGTTCGATACCTGAGGAAGAGTAGAAAAAGCAAACAAGTGACCAACAGATATGTGACTTTTTAAGTAGTTCAGACAATTTTTATTGTCAGTATCAGTTCAAATTGGAAAATTGGAAACCCCAAGTTTAGTAAGTCATGTATTTTTCATAAGGGTGGGGAGCTACCACGCGCACCGATGTCATCAATCGTATTTGCACGATTTTGTCTTTTTGCTTTTCTTACGGCTGCACTCCATTTCTTTTGCTCCCATGGTATGGTCCATCATGGTTTTGGGGTGAAAGATTGGAAATTTCTTCTTACTGTGTTTAGGTCTTCTTGAAAAATATTTTGAATATCAGTGATATCTTGGACGATGGGTATCTTGAATAAATTATGAATGAAACCTTTGCGGGAAACGAAGTGATTAAGTTTGCGGATATGATTATAACATATATCAAAACTTCAACTTTTTTTTCACACACACTTGATATAACACGTCATCTCTGCAAATGGCAGCTGGATAATTTTTGTGTTTTACTGGTGTTAGTGGGGAAAAAAAAATAAATATAAATAAATAAAGAAAAATTTACGAGAATTCAAACAATTAAAAAAAAAAAGGAACAAAAAGTTTTGAGAAATAACCAAATTTAAAAAAAAAAACAAAAAAACTTTTAAAGGAAGAAAAGGAGAGTAGGAAGAAGAAGAAAGTGAGAGAAAAAAGACAAGCATTCGAAGTGCAATTTTGTAAAGCTAAGGAGAGCAAATGCCTGAACTGTGGAAAGTCTCCAAAGTGCGTGAACTGTGAGAAGATGAAGTGTTTGTCTTGTGGTTCAGATGAGCACAACGCTCTCAATAAGTCTTGCCCGAATTGAGAGCTTGAATTAAACACCAATAAAATCATAGCAATTAAAAATCTTTATTATAAAGAGGTAAAAGAGAAGCTTTCCTCAAATTACTTCGAATGTCGTGACGACATTTTCGACGATGACAATTTCCCTTCATTGGGCAACGCTTCTGCTATTTCGAGTAAGGATGACAACGAAAATGCCAATAAATTTTTAACCAAGAATAATTTTAACACTGTCGTCAAAAGGATATCGGTTCTTTTCAAACCTCTTCTCAGTTCACCCACCAAACCTTCTCTCAATCTACCCCCAAGCCGTCTGAAACAAGTCTTCGACATCCAGTAATTTCAAACAACTATTTGCGCTCCTCAGAACTTTAAAGATTAATCTCTGCGAATAAAGAAAGTTTCCGTCCGATGATCCCTCATAGTCTTATTAAAGAATTTGAAGAAAAAATGGGGTTTCTTCTCAAGTTTAAATGTGATGTCCTTTTTACAATATAATTTCCAAAGTGTTCGACGTAACCTGTCGTTTTTGGATTTTTACTTGAACTCAAATAAAGTTGATTTCTGCATCTCAAGCGAAGTTTTTCTGAAAGATGAAAATTGTTTTGAATTTAAAGTTTCGAATTATGCTTCAGCCTCCAAATGTCGAAATGATGGCTATGACGGTGTTAGTATATTAGTTAAGAAAGGTGTCAATTCCAGACGTATTCCCTATAACTCTGCTGTTGACATTATCATCATTAAAACCATGAACCTTAAACCGAGTCTTTTCATAGCATCATGCTATTTTCCCCCCAGTCTCGATGTACAGACTATCAACCTCATGGTTAAGTATGTAAAATGATTCACGCTATACCATGTGATGTTTGTGGAGTTTGCAATGTTGTCGAGTCTGCTGAGCATCTAATCTTCAGACGTCACAGCCTTGTTGCCATTAGAGATTCCTTTAGCGTCTTCAAGTTATATGACTGTTTCCTCGATCTCTTTGTAGCAAAAAATGTACGTCATCTCGAGGAACTAACTTGCTTTATTAGAAAAGCTGCCAACCTTCCCCATAAAAACAAACTCAAAACCGTCATTGTTACCGACAGTTTGTCTGTATTACTAGCTACCCGGAACCCTTCGACTTCGAGATGGAGCACCATCAACAAATTAAGGAATATAATTACAACACCCGAGGGAAAAATTAAAATGTTATAGGTACCAAGTCCCATCGGTTTATTGGGAAATGAGCAGGCTGATCGAGCGGCAAAGGATGCTGCTTCTGCTCCTCTAATTATGGATGATGTCATAGAAAAGTTGGATCTTCAAAGATACATTGGAAGAAAAGTGAAAAAGAGAAAATTGCAGAAGGAAATTTACAATACCATCATCAACACTACTCTTGCATTAACCCTCAATTAACTCCACCTCTATATCCAACAAATGTTGAGAAAACCAAGATCCAAACATTTTCGAGAATTCGCCTTGGTCATACAATTGCAACTCACCAATGGATCCTGAAGAAGTCTTCTCCCCCAATCTGCTGTTGTGGGCAAACTCTTACTATAAAGCACATTCCCTGCGACTGCCTCAACTTTTCCTTGGCTAGAAGTATTGCATTTGGAACGATTAACCCTTTGAACATTCTACAATCAACTTCAGAACAGAATATCAATTCAATATTTTACTTTATTAATACTACTAAGCTTATTATCTAATATCCATTTAGTTAAATTAGAGCCGATAGCCTGTGTTGCTAGTGCTCAATATCTCTTTTTTTAGTCTAAGAATTCAATTCATTAGTCTAAAATTAAAATAATAATAATAATAATTTTTTGAATTGAATTGCTATCATATTCGCCGATGTCAAGCGGGTCGAAGTAGGTATGAGAGTATTTTGGAGATATTCTTTAAAAGAAAGATTTTCTATTTTTATGATGATGATGGATATGTTCCTGTTTGTTTTTAGATGGACGTATTTTGCTTAGCATGTTATGGTTAAGACAGCCACATCGAAGACATTCGATACTGATACTGTTACATTCATTTGTACAGGCAGAAGTGTTGCCGCATTTAAAGCACCGCGATACTTCTGCAGTCCAAATGACCAAATTTGAAGCATTGTCTCAGCGTGGGAATGAAGAAATTAATATGGAGAATACAATAATTGCAATTAATCCTTTTGGGAATTGTTTTCCCTTGAACCCTACTTTAACGTTAGTGATAGGAACAAATTTTCTGTTGTCTTTAAGAGATTTGCGGAAGATCCGGGTCACGGAATATATGAGAATAGAGGACTTTGCATTCTTTTTGATGTAATTTAGATCGTATGCCACAGGGATATTACGCACAATTGCAAGTCTTTCGGTGAAAGATCTAGGAATGTACGCCTTCAAGTTTTTGGATTGTAGATCATTGTTAAGAATAGAATTATTCGTTTTTGACGCAGAGACAAAAAGAAATTTGGCTTTAGAATTTCTAGTTGATTATTAATATTACTTATTTATTTAAACCTGCCAGATTGAAGTTTTTTAAATATTCATAAAAGGCCAAATCAGAAAACATTGGGACGCGATGATTATTCTTGTCTGGACATGTTCCTATGAATACATAATAGTTGTCACACATATCATCTTCATATAGACTCATCACCAATTAAGGAGTTTGGTTGTCAAATTAGAGGGAAAGGTAGAGTTATTTTCATTCACCTCAACTAGATTATCAGTAGTAGCAGGTTGGAGAATGCTTTTTAACATATCATCATATGGAGCGATGTTTGTTTTAAACTTTTCCGGCGATATATCAGAAGAATTCAGCTTAAAATTTTTTTTGAAAAATGTTGAATTCAGTTAGTTTCGAAGTGATACCTTTTTTCCTACACCCCAAGGAAGGGAAGGCCATTATGGATGTGCTGACTTCCATTCAAAAAGAAAGAAAACCAACTTACCTGACACTATAATAAATTGAAGATTTGACGCTATTTGCCTGCTTTATGTCCTGATATAATAATATAAGATGTCGAAACAGAAAGCTCCCCCCGGCCCAGTTATTTGGTTCCACGAGCGAGAAAGAGAAACGTGGTAACCCGAAGCAGAGTTGCCAGGGTAGTGCACGCAATTTCGTTTTTGAAAACATCTGTTTTGATTACATTAAGACTTACTTTAATAAGAAAACCCGGTTACATTAGAAAATCTTCATCTTCAAGTTGAGTAAAAAAGTTTTCATGTGAACGAGGTTTTTTGTTTGAACATAAGTAAAACTGACGGATTATAAATTTTCACAGACATATACCGAACAACATTACTGAAATGATTTTTACATTTCCCGAAGCTCACGTAATTTTTTTACTTCATTTTATTATCGCAGCGTTTGAAGCGAAATCTTCTGAGATTTTCTTGTTCTTCAAATAATTACAAGATAATGCAATGCAAAGTGAATTTCATAATGTTAAAAGTGATGAATTAAAAGCATATGAAAGTGTCGTATGAAAGAACAGAAAAGTTGCGAAAGTTGCGAAAACGTAGATTCATAATTTGGATGTGAAACAAAAAAAAAAGAAGAGAAGATAGCAGAATAAGCGCCAAACTGCGTGAATGGAAAAAGTCAAAAAGGCTGCGATCGTAAATAGACAATTTACGAAGTGTGAAATAGCGAACAGAAGTGGCGACATTAGAACAGACAAATCGAAGATGATCACGCACGTTGACATGAATGACTACTCACTACGTTCATTTTGAACAGATGATCGTTGCATCTTGTGTGCTTAAACATCAACAAACAATGAGAAGTAGACTTCTATATTGATGTTTGCGAATCAATATGTGCGAACCAAAGACCGCTGCCTACAATGTCAGACTTAGATCCATCATTAAAGGCGGGTGAAAAATATTTCCCATTGGCGTTACCCAAATTCGAATAACAATGTTTAATTACTGTGATCCCAAAGAAATTTTGAAAAAGTTATGTATAATAGTTCTTCGAATGTCTTAATTACTGAGTTCGGCAACAAAAATTGCAAAAAAGCAGGAAAAAAATTGGGCGATACATCATAAATGAAAATAAAAACCGGATGACTCTCATTGGATAGAATCTTATTAGAGGTACAATTGGCAAGTGAACGAAACCTTTCGGTTTAGTGTGTGATTAGATTTCGTGAGATCAAGAGCAAGGCAAACACATTTCCATTGAATTCTGCATAATTTCAGAAGGTGGTTATTTGAAATGTGCATATTTAGCCTTAATAGCACGAGATATAATTTAATTCCACAAAAAGGGTCAGAAACCCATGGAATACCATAATTGGATTTCAGGTCATTAGTTAATTGGAAACATTGTTTGGTAATATTTTCAATGTGAGCAGAAGGAGAAAGTTTCGAGCGTAGACCAAGCGAAAAAAATTTTTTTTGCTCTTCTGTACCCTAGATTACTTGATTATCTAAACGTAACTAATAACTATAAATAAATAAATGAATGGAATGTAATATTTGTGTAGACATACTGCTGAGCACCTCATTTTTAAATATCACAGATTTCTTAACAAGGGAGTGTCTCCTTAAAGCAAAAACAAAATTATCATCTTGGGTATTTAATTTTTTTTGTTAAAAAGGCAAATTTGTTTTTTTAATTTACGATAACTTTTTATCTCAATTTTTAGGTGGCTCTCCCAAATTAGTCTTATTTCAGCCAAAGAATGCAACTTTAATTTTACATCACTATTTATCTAGACCTTTACAGGCTTCTAATACACTCAACTTGTTGGCTTACTTACATAAAGGCCCCAGCGTGTTTTCTTAATATTTAGAAATATATATGCTGCAAATAATCGTCGAGTTAAGTAATTATTTATAACGTGAATATATATAAACCATTTTGGCTTAGTTCATCTAAAATCAATATCCAAAAGAAATAAAAATAAAATATTAAGACCTGCACGTCACACAGTTTGTGTACAGCTGATTAGCGATTGCCGTTAAGACATCCCTTATTAAGGCTCTTTGACATAACAGTTAACAATTTGTATGAAAAGACAATAACCTTAAAAAACGTTATGCTGTCGTACAAAGTTATTAGCTTTCTATACTTTTCAACATATTTAAATGCAAAATGCATTTGGTGTGCTTCTACCATGCAAGAAAAGAGTTTAGATGGTAAACTTTTACCCAAACCGGCCACATTTCATTTTCCCGAATACGCCTACAAAGAGACCAGCAAAAATGTAAAGCAAATCTATTGATTTTTGTTTGTTTATGCTACGAAAAAGGTGTTCGATTTTTTGCTTCTAATAGGAAATAACTTATCATGAATTTGAAGTAAACTGTGAACATCATACCAATTGTGAAAGTTTAGATGGTGCCGAGCGCAAGGCATGCGTTAGACGTTGTATATCATTTTCTTGTTATCAAGATATCTACGCCTTCGATGAGGTTCCGTAATGAGATAATCGAAAGCAAAGAAGTTTTTTAATGAAAAATAAAAATTTCGTTTTCTTTTTGTTTATTTTTTATTGTTTTTCGAATAGCTCGAAGAAGGTGAAATTGACGTGCGTTTAAATTCATTTAAAGGTTGTGTTATTCAAAGGACCGGCAATACGAATCGTCGCGCCACCTAGCATAGGGGACCTCGCTTGCAAATCGATGAATTCCTTCATGAGTTACACTGGAAATTCTCAAATTTATTAAAGCACTTCACCTAGGAAGCATTATTAATTGTGATCATTTCATGCATTATGTTTTTGATATAAAATAGCTCACAAAAGTCCAATAAAAATTTAAATAATACGTCGCTTGAGTACCATATGCGTATGCGCTTTATACATTTCTTTTTCATTTTTTATTTATTAAAATTCATTAGAAATTGTAAACGTAAAATCTAGTTTCAACAATATGTGGTATGGCTTGGCTTGCATTTTTATTATTACTGCCTTATTTAAAAAAAAAAAGCTTATTGCAAATACCGCGTGGGCACTGCCCATAGCAAAATGTTAACATTTCTATATCAAACATTATTGGTGGGGGAAGAAACTATTTTCTCTTTCTTTAAATAGGCATTAAAATTATTTAATAATAAACGTCAACTTGATTTACTTATTTAAGTCACTTTCGTTCATTGTGAGGCCCCAAAAAAGATACATATAAGTGTATTGTGCATTAATTCGATTCCGGTTTCTCATGCAGCCATGGACGAAAAATTGGCAATGTTGATGGATAATGTGTATCAGGTTTAAGTACCGAATCTGGCCATGTATTGGTAATATCATTGCCGGTGCTGCGGAATGGATACGTGCCCAACACTATGGGTAATTGCAGTTTAATTTCTTTTTCCAATGACTTGGGTTCAATTACAAAGAAAACATCATAAGAGATCTTTATTAAGTGGCAGCCATGCAAATTGGTGGGAGGCAAAGGCGGTACATAGAGACTATCATTTTGCCACTCATCTTTGCCGCCGGGACGTATTTTGGCACGCACCAAGACAGCTAACGCTCGTTTTTCAGTTTGTACTACTTTACCACGTGCCAAATATTCAATCGTCTGAAATAGCGTACACCACCAAGTTTAATACAAAATCTTTCAGAAATTCAACAAACCTCAGTTAATGATGCTTTTGTGCGTTTAATTGTGACGTTACTATGATTGGATATAAAAGCAGTAACCACAACGCTTTCGCCGGGGACGTAACCTCCGCGATCTAAAGCTACACGACATTTAACTAGACCGCCGCCAACACAGGCCACGCCCATTTTATGCTCTACCTCACAAGCAAATGGTTGCTGAAATTGTTTTTGATGATGAATACAAAATTAAATGCACGTTGTAACAATTAAAGGACTTACTGCCAGTACAGGTTTTTCCATGTTTAAGTCAATCGGATTCATAACAATGAAAACCTGATGATTTTTATGTATTAAGCCGTTCGGTTCTCTTAGAGCAGCTTTACAGTAGTATTGTATCCAGCCATAACGCCCTAAAAATGTTGATGGCAATCCCATCGGTAGGCCCAATTTAAAAGGAAAGCTATGTATACCAGGTGACAGCACCGAAGGACCCTGATCCACATCTCCTAATAGACGCATTCGAAAATCAATGTAATTCTCTTTGTCGTAAGTGCCTCGTTCTTGTCGTGCTGATCCGGCTCGCACTACACCCTCACCAACCACATGAAAATGTAAGCCCAACGCTGGTGTATCATCTTGCAATTCCAATAGTACACGGCCCGACAAAAATTGACCAGGAAAATACAGTAAGGACGTGTTATCGAAGATAATAAGAAACTTAAGAAGTTTACGGGGCATTATGCGTAACGTATGCACTTCGGTAAACGTTTTTTATACCACTTGAACAACTATAACATATTTCATATATCAAATCGTAGGGCTATAAAATTACGTAGTAAAAAAATGGTAAAAATAAAAAAATAGCACAATTAAATTAATTTTTTATATTAATTAGAAGTTTTGCCAATAATTAATAATTAATTTTTTAACAATTAAATTCAGAACATATAGTATGTAAATGATGAATGAAAAACGATCATCACAATCCGATTTAATTATTATTTTCATGTATACTTAGCAAAAGAAGGAACTGAATATATAGCAGGAGACTCTTCTTGAAATTCCATGTATTTTGTAAAGGCTGTTATTACCAGTTGGTATTTCGAATGTTTCTCTTGTTATTGCTGTTTAACACGCTTATGCGCTTATGAGATGTGTGTACACGATGTGGGCATGAAATGAAGGTCTAAATCTCACATCATCATCATCGACATCATCATGATTATTGCACTACTATAAACCAAATATAGAAGCTCGTGTTATGTATGTATGCGTAATTATATGTATATATGTGTAATTATATCAAGCAAAACTTGGCTTTTATAAAAATTAATTTAAGCTTTCAAATTTACTCTACGTAAAAAATAATTAGATTCATAAATCAATTGTACAATAACTTGTTGATTTTGCTCATGTTTTTGTTGAACATAGCTTCGCTAGATGCACCGAAGAACAAAGCATATCATCAATTACATAACTATTACTTTTCAACTTTGCAGTAGGCAATCAAAATTGGCTACCATGGCCAATTGCCTGATTAGCGTTAGTTCATTTTAACTTCCACTGGATAAAAAGACACGAACGGGTTGGATTAGCAGTAGGAAAAACAGATAAGCGTTGACGAAAAAAGGCTTTCAATGAAGGGCTATTTGTCGCATAAGGTACATTATGTGTGTTGATATATGTAACATCCAGAAAGAGTTGCGACAGACTCGCCCTTTATTGTACCTATTTGCTTTGTGACAAAAATAGATGAAGCATTGATAAATTTGCTTCATGTAAGTTCACATTTTGGACCATTGGCATATAATATAGTGCACCAGCGAACAGTGCGTACAGTGCAATAAGTACAGGCGAACCATAGAAAAGCGCTATTGAATCGATCGGTTTGAAACTTTTTTCTCTTTGCGTATAATGCCTTATTTTGAAAAATAATGTACATATATATAAATATATATATTAATAATCAAGTGGTGTAAAGTATTCAGTGGTGCGTCGCGTCGATCATAACGTTTGTATTTGTTCCTGCCTTTCTAGACAATGCTGTGCTGTGCTATAATAAAAACATTATCTATTTACTCAATAGATGGTTACAAATTTGTTATTTTCTTTCAAGTTCCAAACTTTATGATTATGCCTCAAAATACGAAAGAATCACAAAATCTACTTGACAATTCTTTATAAAAGCCTTTTGTGATTTAGGACGTCACTGTGATGTTCCTTCGAATAGCCTTAAAAAAGAAAGTAGAAAACAAAGTCACAAACTCTTTTGACTACCCAGCGATCTACATGCCAGAATATTGCATTATTAGACGCATTAAGGTTTCGCATCCAATTGTAGTTCTATCCTTCTATATATGGAATCCAGCTAATTAATGAACAATGCTTATGTTAATTGATTCTTGCTAGATAAATTTTAATAAATCTTCGTTTCCTTATTAACAATTAGCAAAAAAGTAATTACGTATAGAAATGGTTTTTTACAACATATTAAAGAAATATTATTTTATGCTGTGGAGATGTGATGTGTGATGTGTAAAAAGAGTCTTCCTTCGAAAATATGTCCAAGCTGTACGGAATAGCGAGAAAGTGCATTTCAAATAAAATAAAACTTAATTCTCATTTTGAAAGCGGAGATATTTTCAGAATGCGTATAATTCAATACGACTCGTCATTGCCTAAAAAGCACATATTCTTCCCCTGTCTCCCACGCTCTCTCTTTCCATCTTTCTTTAGCTGTATACATATTCATGCACCGCATAAAAAAATGCGTAAAACAAATTGCGTAAAACCAATCGAACAAATAAAAAATCAATTCAACGGTTTAAAAACAAATTCAAATGTACATAAGTCTTTAGAGTTTTTGATTGATATCGATAAACTTACTGCTTTTCATTTGATCAGCGAGTTTCCCTTGTTTATTTTTGCTATTAGCAATCTTCTTAATAAACTTATTAATTTTGTATTTTCTTCATTTTTAACTATTCTTATGTTCTTCGACACTTGAAGCAAGTATACGTTAAGTTTGTATGCGTATGTACGCAATATCCACAAACTGTTGAGAGATAATTAGAAAATCTTTTATTACACCTGTCGGTTCGTAATCATTTTCTGGACCGATTTAACCATGTCTGTTAATTTGTGTCTGCGCGTCTAACATCTATCTATCTAAGGTTATGCTCAACTTAATTATAAACTTATAAATTATAATTATCAACTGATTTCATTGAATGAAATTTGGTACATTGATTTGCTCTTGCCCAAGGGCAAACGTCCCTCCCATATGAAACTTGCTAGAACAAATCAACGCTTATGCAATGTCTAATTTTCATTCAAATTTGCTTCGCAAAGATTCCTTGAAATATGAATTTTTAAATGGGCGGCAAGATTTAACTTTTTGTATTTTATGACATGATGAATTCTGCTCAGTTCTTATATGGTAGCAAGATGTAATTCTGAGTAGTAGACGACGGGTATAGTTGATTAATTACATTCAACGCAGCGGTGCAGATATTCATTAATTAATTGAGCTACAATTTATATATAGTATACAACTGTAATGTTGTTATTTACTTACATTAAAAAATCGGTTTCCAAAAAAAATCGATTTACAAAAATATATATTTTGTACAGTGTTTTATACTAACTATACACAAAAGCTTGAAACGCGTTTAACGCTACAACTATCGAATGGGACAATTACACATTCTTCATGTTTCAAATTTCAAGTTACATAAAACAGTAAAGTTCCTAAATAATGAGCGGTCTTGTATTTAACTTAGAAATCCTTTATGTACATATGTATAAGTTTTTTCTTTTGTTTCTTTTTTTGTTATATGACTGATCACTCAATCGATATCTCCTATTCGTCTAATACGGTGACAGTGGTAAATACAAAGAACTGAGGGAGTACCCTAGTTGTTGTGTGTACAATCGGTAAGTGTTTTTACCTTTACCGACTGAGCTCTCATTATAATTACGACCAAAGTTAATTCGACCGCATTGAGATTTAAACCCACGAACGCAGACTTCGTAGTCGAGATTTTTATTTAGTCGGCTACTTATTTATGTGTTAGTAAACTGATCCGAACAATTTTTGAAACGAACGTACAGGTAATTCTGACGTATATTATGTCGGCTTTTTTCGAAATTGTTTAAGCTTCTTATTTATTGTGATTCCGGTATGCGCATAGATCAAAAACAATGGACTGTAGATCAAAATGGCTAATTGGTAGAAACAGGTATATTCAAGACATCGATAATTCCAGTGTTAAGATTTCAATGTGTAAGAACTTCGATTGTTTTATATGCCATACGATTTTATGCATAATCACATGAAGGTGAATATGAAAAAAATGCATTCTCAACACGTTTTATTTCATTAAATCAAAAAGTTATTTTGATTGGTATATATTTATTATAATTTTTCACTCTTCAGCCGATTACAAACGTTCTTATTCCTTTAATTTGCTGCATTCTACTCTTTAAACCATTTTATTTAATACCCATGACAAGAATTATTTTAATTATAAAGAAACCCGCATGAGGGCCCGAGCAGGCAAAGGATCTCGACTAACAACTCAACGATCGTGGGTAGACTTTTTAATAAAGCCGATAGCCTTAGATGCTAATGCTTTAAGATTTTAGTCTTAGAATTTATTACTTTTTCTAAATTAATAATGATAACAATAATAAATATAAAGAAACATTAACTATACCACGCTGTATTGCCATCGAAACGCAAAATGAATGGAAAATTTGGACACAATCGGACATAAGGACATACCAGAGCTAACGATTGGTAGATTGAGATGCCACGAATGCGAAGTAAATGTATATATAAAAATGGGCTTGTGTTATAAGCAAATATCAAAGTTCATAGATATGTGCACCTACACCACTTGTGTTACAGGGTATATTAAATTTGTGCGGACGGTAGGTAAGACTCAGAAGGGCTTAATATAGGCCCACCATTTATTATAACGTCCATCTGATGTCTGTCCATATATAATTATGTTCAAGCTACAGATCGCAGTTATTGAGAAAGGAGGACGATCCCTATTGCACTGCCCATATTTTGTCGTTGTAAGGAAAACTTGCAATTTTCAAATTTTCTTGACAAACGTCGTTGAGTAATAGTTTTTTTTGCATTCTAAATTGATGTGAAAAGATTGGATCGGCTGGGAAAATTTTTAAACCCCCTCTCAAATAACCGCTTCTATGAAAACTGGATCATTATATGATAGGAAGGTCTAATTTACAATACTGCATGGTGAAAATTGGTTAACAATAATAAATTGCCCAAAAAACCAACCTTGCCAAATTTCGAGCACGTAGGCCTATATAGTGGATACCAGCGCGTTCTAGGATTTGCCGAAGGGCAAAACCCTTATTTGCCCCGAAAGGACTAATTGTTAATGTATAAATAAATTAATAAAGTAATTTGACATAAAAATTAAGTGAACCAAACTTCAACCACATGACTCTATTGCTATGATCCCAGTTTATATAACATATCTCATGAATAGTAAGCGCTTCATAAAAAGGTTTAATTGTTAATACTTTTTTATTTAACATTATGAAAATTAATCCACAGTAGTGATTGTGCAATAAAATTAACTATATGGAATTTAGCTCACATAGGTCTATTTTTTAAACCCAAACATATATAAGCGTTGTCATAAAAAGTATACCCGTACTTGCGGAAAAAGTCTAATTTCTACTTTTTTATGACGGAAACTGAAAAATAATGAAATTTTTGCGAAGTAAATTAAATATGCTAAATTTTGATTACGTCATGTTATATTTTCGGCATCTTCCGGTATGCGCCCGACTGTAATGATCTTAGTTGCTTTTCTTATAACAACTCACCAAAATAAGATGACGAATGATCGAAAATTTGACCGATCCGAATCATTTTCAATAGCGTTCGTTCTCGACTCCAAACACGTGAAAGTGCCAAATTTCATAAAAATCAGAAAGTGACTCTTCATCGAATCAGAAAGCTACTGTGAATAAAATAGAATAAAGCTACAGTATAATAAAAAATAGGACTACCTCAAATAAAGCTGGGTGTTACATAGATGCTACAAGTTGTGTAGGGTATAAAAACAATTTTTTTTATAATGTTACGATGACTTTAAGTCTTAAGAAACCAAATCCGATAGATAATTCATTTATCATAAAAAATTTCTTGCTACAAACCACTACTATTTTTTCTTTCCACTTCATTCGTCTTTTACCGCTCTATTTATCTGAAGAAATTTTTTGTTTTATTTCATTGTTTCCATACTATTAAGAAATTCGTAAGTATATGCACATTTTCCTGTTCTATCTATGGATTTGATCGATTGCCTGTTCTCTAGGGAAATCAAGAGTTTGTGATCGAAAACTTTTGAATTAAAAGTGGATGAGTGCCTTGGTACTTTTTCTTTTGTTCTCGTCAAGTTAGGTTTAAAAACCCTGCTAGGAAGGTTATAAGTCAAGTTTACTTTTTGCTTTCCTAAAATGTTTCTAAAACATCGAGAACACGTGCAATAAGCACAGTGCAATTGACAAATCGTCCACCTTACCATCTTATTGTCAGTAAGGCTGCATACGTTCATTATTAAAAAAACAGCAATGATTTTACTATAGCCACGCTTTATTATCAGCAAATAAACTTTCCATTCAAATAGTTATTTAATTAACTCTTTTTTGGTTTTAACAGATTCATGCAGTCCATGTATTGTACAAACTTGCAATAACCAAAAGGTTTATGATATCTTCGCATTATCTTCAGCTAATGTATTCAATAACGTTAGAAAAATTATACACAAAAGGCTTAATAACTGGTTTTGCAGCCCAATATAATAATATTGTTTGAGCTCAAAGCAAACTGATATCACACACATATTCAATACAATCACATTTGCAAAATTTTCTAAACAATAAATAAAATTGCATTTGAATTTGTTGCTATTTTTCTGCTTTATAATCTTCTTTTTTGTTTTATTTTATTACATACGAACTTATATAAATTTCCAATCATTTGCCTATCCGACTATATAAGAGGCAGACAAAGCTGTTATATGTATATATATATAGAAATGATTGAAAAGGAAAACATTTAGTAGTTTCCATAAACTAACACGATTTGAGTAAACTTTTTTTCAATGTAATGCGATAATTATTGGAAAAGCAAAAATTCTTTTTCAAAATCGTTAATATCATTAACTTTGAAGAAAAGAAACTAGACTGGTTTTTAAAACTATGTTATTTGTTGCTTTGATTTTTTGTGTTTAGCGGAAGTTTTGAAATAAATTTTTCTGTTTTTTTTTTTTTATTATTATTTAATCTATCAGAAAAGCGGAAATGTATGAATAGTTAATAATCTATATAGTCGTTCGTCGCTCATCTCATATCTATATGAACATATAATACATAAGCATCGAACAGACAAACGATCTCTTAGTTATGTGTACGCTATGCAACGTTATTCATAAGTAAATAAAACTTGTTTGTAGATATATAAATATATATACGCGCTTAGCTCACGTAATTCACATTCAACTGGTTTTACAGGGTCTTGATAGCAATGTTTACGACTAAGAGCTCTGTTGCATTTTAAGTATTTTAACTTCCCGAAATAAATGCATTGAAATGTTCCGCTTATAAAACTTCAACGCATTGACATTCAATACATACGCAGGTATGCGCAAAACCACTTAAAATAGTATGAACACGCAACGAGGGTGCTTTAAGTCCGGATTGTTTCGCTGTTATTGTTTTGCTTTTTGTTTTTTTTCAGCCACCTTCTTCCACTCTATTGACATTTTTCCTCTCTAGATTATTTTTACAGATTATTTAAAAAAATTAAATAAAAAACCTAGACTCACTTATGTTATAACAATAGCGCAGAAAGCCAATTCTTTACTGCTTTGACAACTACTCATAAAGGCTCTCACGTTTAAACTAACTAACTGTCCAATTTTGTACAGTTTTGTATATTCTCGATATAAACACACTTGGAGCTTTCGACGAAATTATTTGTGCGAGAAGAAAGAATAAAAACTCTCATAAGAGAGTATAACAATTTTTTAAGATCTCAAATTTTTTATAATCATTAATGCCTTTTTTCGGTTTACGAAAATGAGACAAAGAAGAAGATAAGCCAGAGAGAAGAGAGAAAGAAAGATGCTTAATCCCACACTCTATACTGTCACATACATGGCACATCTTAAAGTTTTCCAATTTATTGCTACTGCCCTTGGTTCAATTTGCATGCATTGGATCCTTCAACAGATCGGCATATTTATCGATTCTCTATAAACATGCTGCAGGAAACACTTGTCTTCAAGAAGCTACAATTTTATCATTATTATATTTATATACATGTATACGTGCTCATAAGATCGATTGACCGACAATGTATAATTAGGCAAGACTGTTTTGTTAACATTCTTTTCTTTTTTTTTTTATTAAAATTGCGGCGAATTCTCAAACTGATTGAACTGATTTATGAACATAATGCATAGATTGTAATAAAGAAAGAATATAGTAACAGTATAACGATTTAAGCAGTTTCATGGTCGTAATCTAAGAAAAATAAGTACTTACTTGAAAAAATGGAGAATATACATTTGAATCTGACGAATGGAAGGAATTATTAATTTTCAAGGCAATAATTATTATGTAGACCGGCGGATAGCAAACAAACATAGCTAAATAACTTCTATTATCTACACATAGAACATATCATGGAAACATTTCTGATTATTTTATGAGTCACTTTTTACCTAAATGACAGCCGCCTGAGTGGCCGAGTAGGCAAGAGTCTCGACTAGCAACTCAATGGTCGTGGGTTCAAATCCCAAGTGCGGTAGAGTTTTTAATAAAGCCGAAGACCTTAGATGCTAGTGCTTTTAAGACTTTAGTCATAGAATTTATTCTCTGGCTAAGTTTATAATAATAATAATAATAATAATAATAATAATATCTAAATGAGTCTCACAAGCATTTAATAAATGTTGTCATTTGTATGCAAGCGATTAGAATGATTATCTCTGAGAACAGAAATTACAGAATTTACATTACTCTTCACTTTACTCATATTCTCATATTAGCTACGCGCATTACGCGTATTTTAGAAGTACTACACCAATCAGCGTAACTCAGAATGATTTTTAATTAATGAACTAAGCCTTTCCTAAGCTTTTTTTCTGAACACCATGTCATTTCGTTATTTATTTTATTCAAAATTGCCATTATAACCACACATTAAAGAAGCATATAAGTGTGGGTAGGTTAAATAAATAATAAGTCTTATATACAATTATGTTTTTAAACAACAAATTTATTTTTAATAATTTTTTCTTAAATTTGATTTTGCTTTGTTCAGTTAAATTTTTGTTTTTTTTGCAACAAGTGATTCAAAAAATTGGTAGATGAAAATATGCATTCATATATATTTTGTGGAACCTTATTTAATATATATGCTCATCTTCTTTCTTGTTTTTATGGCAGTTCAAAGAAAATATTTTTTTTACTGTTCATCCATCTGCTAATTATTTAAAAAATATTGGCTAAAGGCAATAATAGCATTACATTATTTCGATTTATATACGGATGCAATTAAAAAGAAATAAAAAAAAAAACTTTATTCTTATTGCAATATTTTGTAAAATATAGTTCATTTCATTAAGCTTTTCTCTTGAATTTGCCCTTGTTGCAAAGTTAAAATCTAAACTAACTCTAAACGTTTCATTTCCTTGTGAAGTTCTTTGCCCATTTGAGCAGGACTCCGGGTAACAATTACATTAGCTTTCTCCAAAGCTTTGATCTTATCACCAGCACCTCCTTTACCACCAGAAATAATAGCACCAGCATGGCCCATTCTACGCCCAGGTGGCGCCGATAAACCAGCAATAAACGAGACTACAGGTTTAGCTTTCATACCCTAAAAAAAATTCATTTCTTTAATTACTGCTTAGTACTGATCATTACGTAGTTTATGTTATTACAAAACTCCAAACATTATTGTTATCCTAAATAATAATGTTAATGTCATATCTTATTAATTTCCTGTAATAATATTTTTCACATATTTGTATACTCATTAACGAAGAATAAGAGGTGTATTCATTTCGTCGAAACGTTTACAAATTCAGCAAAAACATTGAAGTTCTTACAAACAGCTTGCTATTGAAAATGGTTCAAAGCGGTCAAAAGATGCACATATAGCAGCACATACACTGAGAACGCCTCTGTTTTTAAAAATTAATAAAAAATTGATTTTTTGCTCAGTACTTATAAACTGCAGCAGATAAATCTACAAAACTTTGAACGTATATTCTATGGGCGATGGTGCCTTACTTAAAATTGAATATGCTTACCCAATATTATAGTGTATCAACATTTTATTTTTAAATTCAAATTGCACCTGAGCATGTTCGTCTGCTCGTGTTTCTATCTACGGTAAACATTCTATCTTTTGAAAATACGGAAATATCGTCTACAAACTTGCAAAAGTATATGAAAATTACCAAACCCGTAGCATCCACACTGTAAACACTTTTCCGTGTCTTTTGCTCGTTACCCATAAACATACAACATAAACACCATATAAAACTCCAATATTATTCTGAAAAAAAAAAAAAAAAACCGACGCGCCACCTAATATTATAGAGTACGACAATGTAATTCTTTTCCTTCCTGTTAGTCTATGACGTATAAAGGATTCGGTCATTACCGAATATAATTTCCTTGCTTGTCAAATACATTTTTTCGATTCCAAAAAATACATATTACTGTAAACAAAATTTTAAACTTTCTTACTAAAAAAATAAAAATTAGACTTATGGTATTTAGATGTGGAAAAACTAAGTTCAACAGAAAGGAATCTCTTCTTCTTTTAAAGAAATCAAAACTATCAAGTAACTTTCTCAATAAACGAATTGGATCACAATACTTTCATCATCATTTTGGAAGCTGGTTCGTGGCTACACGTGTTTGGCAAAAATTTTCAAGCATTGCATTCAGTTATTTAATTACCGCATTGCGTGACCGACACATTATGTGTCAATTGCATCAAATCCCTCAATGACGATGCAAAACTCTTTATTATGATTACAAATTTTTTTACAGTTTCAATAGGAAGTTTTTAGAACTCTCCCCCTGTCGTAACCAGAGTTAGAATTATTAAAATTAAAATTGTACCACAATCATAAATTGACTGGGGTTAATTCATCACAAATGTACTTATGTACAAAAAATTCTTATCCGGAAAAAAGCCAACAGAATGCTCATCCAGTTCTTAATAATCCTCATGTTTTCAAATGTATAATCGTAAATAAATCCCTATATACAAACGATATTGATAAATTATTATCACGCTTAAAAAGTGGTTCGAACAACTATTGGGATACGATTATCAAAATCAAAGTCGACAACCCAAAATGTACACCCACACAATCCTTGAAAAAGAGTGGAAAAAGTATATAAAAAATGTCTTCTTGATATTTCAGAAAGTGTTGTTACATTATAAACACGTTTGACATCAAATATTTGTTTGTAATTACGCGGCATAGGTATAAAGTGAATATAGCATCAATAATGTAGATTAATAAACAAAATTATCTTATTTTATAACACTTTAATTTCTTTTTGTACTTGAAAAACTTACCGTATTAAAATATGATAGATATTCGGCTGCTTTTTCTTCAGCAACACCACCAATTTCACCGATCAAGATAATACCCTTGGTATCTGGATCTCTAAGGAAAATTTCGAGACAATCAATGAAGTCGGTACCATTGAATGGATCGCCGCCAATGCCAACACATAACGTCTGACCTAAGCCAACTTCAGTTGTTTGATTGACAGCCTCATAGGTCAAGGTACCCGATCGGGAGACTACACCAATTTTGCCACGTTTATGTATGTGACCGGGCATGATGCCAATTTTACACTATTATAAAGCAAAACGACTTTGAATGAATATTCTATACAATAAACCGTTAAATAACAGTTCAATTAAAGAGAAACACAAAAAGTGTAACGTAATGTTTTTTACAAGGCATATTTCTATACTTTGACGGAAGAAACTTCTATTACAATAAGTAAAATTCAAAAAAAAAGAGATTTTTTAAATAATCTACTAAAAAGACTGCTAATCTGCTAATTTATAAGACAATGTTGTTCCTTTCTTTGGTTATTAACTCTAACCGTACCTTCACCTATTCCAAAAATGATTACATAAACTTTGAAAACTGTCTTCAGCACTAAAAATGTGAAGTCGAAAAAAACATTTGTGAACATTACTGAATAGAGGTCCCTTATCATCACTGGAGAAATCCAAAGTCTTCATCTTCAGTAAAAATAAACAATGCCTACTTACTCTTTCAGGGGCAATGATGCCTGGACAATTAGGACCAACTAGACGAGATTTTTGTTGAGTCAACAGAGCATGCTTAACGCGCACCATATCATGCTGTGGTACGCCCTCGGTAATGCAAACAATTAAAGGAACTTCATTTTCCAAAGCCTCCAATATAGCAGCAGCTGCACCCGCTGGTGGCACATAAATTACGGTAGCATGAGGATCAGTCGCCTTTTTCGCTTCGGCCACCTTTCAATGAAATAAAAATAAATGCTTGTGTTGCAGTGGAAATTTCTTTCATTCTCTTACATTTTTAAACACAGGCAAACCCAAATGTTGAGTACCGCCTTTTTTTGGTGAAATGCCACCCACTAGTTTCGTGCCATATTCCAAAGCTTGTTGACTATGGAAGGTTCCCTGCTTGCCGGTGAAACCCTGACAGATGACACGTGAATTTTCCGTCAGCAATAAATTAGGTCGAGTTTTGTTGTATTGCGTGCTAGCAGCAGCATATCGCACAGCGGTTACTAAACTATCTGCAAAGAAATTCGTTCAACTAAAAGCTTCGTCTTAATTATATTAATAATCAAGTTCCTTGAGGTAAAAATGAATAAAATGCAAAAGGCAGTTCAACATTAAATAATTTCATTCAAGGTCTTTGCAGAGAAAATGCTGCGATTAATAATTGTTATTCAATCACCAATTACATTACGATACTTTTTCTTTTCTGTTTTTATTAAAAACGAGGAGCATTTTCTTAATTTGCTCACAGCACTTATATAATATCTGTATCGACTTTTTATCTCAACTTTTTCTTTTGTTTTTAATCTCTTCTAAACTTACCACGTACTTTGAGCAAAGCTCTCGAGGAAGCAGCCATTGTCAATAATTCTTTTTGTGTTCTAGCTGTTTCTTACAAATTGCAAAAATTATCGAAAAATATTCTATCGAACAACTTACTTAATAAAAGTAACTTGCCTGTTCGCTTTTGCTCGTCTCGTACGGAAGTTTTTCCTTTTCTTGTTAAATGATTAAGAGCAAGAAAAATACGCTATTGTTGCCACGCGAAGAAATATGAACAAACCCTATGAAAAATTGTTTATTTTTCATTCCGTGGGCTTTTATTTGAAAACTGCAAGAACATTAATTCAATCGAAACTATCGCTGTCCATCACATCGTTAGTCGGTCGAAATCACTTTCAGTCTTAGATAACTCTTGTAACTAAAACGAAAGCTGCAATGAATAGCTACCTCTTGTTAATAAACAAATTTCTTATTCACTAGTTTTAAGGGTGTTTGTGGAACGTTTGTTTAAACTTATCTTGCATTTAAAACATAAGTGCCATAACATAAGACATAAGCTTTCCCTTGCCTTTTATTGTGGTGATAAGAGTCACTAGAATAGTCAAAGAATACGATCGTGGTTAAAGCCTTGCATTTTATTTAAATTTCAAACAAATGCAATAAACAAAAATACAAAGAAAAAGAGCGCTGCCTAACTCAAAACACGTATTATGATCGATCCTTTTTAGTCATCGTCGATAATCGTCGTCTCAATAAGTAAAAAGAAAGCAACACACAATCACTTCGAAATCGAAATATAAAATTAGTCAAGATACATATATTTCATTGGGGTCTTTTTTTCATACTTTTAAATATTTTAACTGAAAAAACCAATACAGCATATCTCTGGTTTCTTTGATAGGTCTAAAAACCCAAGAAGCATAAATAATGATCTTTTATTATTTATCTAAGAGTCTGTATGTGTCGATTTTTGGATTTATGTTGATGATACTAAAAGTTTAAAGTTTAAAATCAAAATTATTCCTCTAGACAATACTAAAAATAGACAAATTGACACGCAGCAAGCATAGCTCATTCAATTTCACTATTCCAATAGTACGGACGAAAGTTTGTAGAGTTTTCGACGTACTTTTTTATGCTTGCCGTAAAGGTGTAATCTTTTACAAGTCGACACGATTTATTTATTTAAAATTGCATTTAAAATATAAATCCTTGCTGAAAATTTTATTAAAGTTAATCATGTTATGCTATTTTTTTGAAGAAACATTTACTTAACCATATTGAGTTCCTAACTTTCGGCATTATGAAGTTTTTATTTCATTACCAAAAAACAATAATAAGTAAGTGCATTCATAAGCAATTACACATACACTACTTGCACTTATATATATAATTATATATATATATATATATATATATATATATATATATATATCTATGAAATATGCCTTAATTAAAATGTTTGTACCCACATACAGTCATCATAATTTTTTAAGACTCTTTTGGTTTTGAGCCCATTTTTCTCTAAATAAATTAATTAAACATATTCCCATCTACTCCAAATTCATCTTCGCCATCAATAAGATTATCTTCGTTTTTATGCTCTTTTAGGTCACTCAGCTGCTTAAATTGTTGCTCTTCTTTATATTCTTCGCGATTGTATACATTTTGTTCATCTCCGCGCAGACGTTGATATACTAATATGTTTTTACCAGTTCGTGCTTGGGTGTACTGTAAACAGGCAAAAGAAATTCAAATCAAGATTTTTTGCAATTTATTCCACGTCTTACGCATTACCTCTGCATTCACCACAATGTATAGCCGTTTATAACCGACTAGAAACTCCTTAATTTGCGTAGCCAGAGGTTCATAAAGCACGACATGTGTTGGTTTGACAGTCGGTGGATAAGACGGTACATGCGAACGTAGCCAGTGCATCGGCGAATCATAAAACTGGTCAGCTTCATCTTTATAATTGACTTTTTGTTTCAAATTTGGTTCGCAAGTAAGGAAGCGCATTGTAATGTTTCGATGAATGTGACTGCAGTTAAAGTTTATTTACACACAATTCTGAAAATAATTTCTTTAAAAGACCAACCTATAATATGGTGTAGAATGGCAGGGCATTAAAAAAAGGATCCTGGCGGGATTTTTGTGCTCGTCACGATATTTATAAGCAATGTTTTGCAATTTATTCATTACTTCGAGGGGTCCGCGTTGATGTACTGTGCTCAAGTAGAAGGCGGGAACGGCATTACCAATAATTAAAAGCAAAGCTGCGCACCATAGTGACACCCTATAAATAAACTTATATAAGTTACTTAAGATATAAACGTAAACGAATAGTTACTTTGACGCATTATAACTCCATTTAGTTAATGTATCTGCAGTTATATAAAGACATAATGGCAGTAACACGCCAACAAAACGGAATTCCTTATGTTCTACTGCACTTAAAACCAACATAACTATAAATATAGTTATTAGCAGAACCTTACGTGTGGGATACGTTTTTCGATGCCTTATAGTTTCAATTACACCAAACAAGAATGGTACGAAACTAATACCTAATACGGTAGGCAAGCCTATTGTAAAGTACCAATGCCTAAAAAAACCAACTGAAGTGTAACTGCACTTCTCGACTATCCGCATTCATACATGTTTGCAACTTACCAAGCGTGTGAACCATAAAAGCTACCAACATTATAATAAATGTTATATTTCAGAAATTCGTAAGGAGTTATCAGTAGCTGACCGTGCATTAAGGAATCAATACTAATGCATATAACACATGTAACCGCACTAAAAGAAAAGATCACATAATGTTAATTCTTTTTTTTTCTTTGCTTAAAACTTACCCAATTATTATAAAACGCTTAAAAATTAATTGCGTCAAAGATAACTTTGATTTTTTTATGTGATAAAATACCAAAGGTAACCACAAAATCACACTTGTTGGTCTGAGAAAACAACACAAAGCAGCCGGACCAAAGTAGAGAATACCCTCACCCTGCCATGGATAATAACTTAACGCTATGTTGGTTAAAGAAATCTCTAACGTATTAGAGAGTGTGCGGGAGGCCATATAAAACCAAAACCAAGATACGACTATGCAAAATAAAGCCCATTTTTTCTTCCCGGACCATATAAAAAACCTATAGTCGGAATAAGTTGATAATATAGCTTGGAAAACGCGGGGCGTTAACACCAGTGTATATACGGTATCCAAATTAAGTAAAGCCAAAATTTTAAATATGCTAGAAATAGCTAAAGGATATATATAATTACGAATTCCCTGTTTCCATTCCCATGTCAAGTAACCATAGCTAAAAACAAGAATTGATATTAAATATTGTTGATTTTCAATTAAATTATCTTTTTACCCAAAAGCTATTTTATGAGCCACTTCCAAGCTTTGCCAATATTCATCGGGGACATAGAAGGTTTGAACCACAAATACGGAAAACAAACGTACTGTGAGCAAAACAAGAAATATTGTCACCAAATTCATCTTAAAACGGTCGGCAATTTGTATTATTTCACAAAATCAACTAAAAATCTCACGTAAAACGTGTATTTTATATCATTTTTATAATCATTTAAATTTTTAATTCAATCTTTATAGATTCACAACAAATGTAGACGGTGAGAAAAGGCGCACTAAAGAGGAATTCGAAAATATTTTGTCAAACTATAGTAAAAATAGACAAACTTATTTTCACTTTTTATGTTATATTTGTTATTAACGTTATGCAGCAAATTTTGAATTAGAACAGCTAAAAATAATTTGTAAGCAAAAACTTAAAATAAGTGGCCCGGCTTGTTGTTGTTATAAAATACGAATGAAAACTTAGTGACGTCACTAATAAAAAACTGACGCTCAGTTGTATAAACGTCTGGCAGTACTACTGTTGCAGCGTTGTAATCAAATGAACTACATAGCAGCTTCAGCCCAGCGACAATAGCACAAAACCTAAGCACAAAGGAACCGCTAGGGCAAGAAATGGTGATCGATTCTTTTAAATCTTAAAGTCATTTTTCTAATTTATGTTTGCCTTACACTAATTTACATTTTTTTTATATTATGTGAATTGTAATTTTGCTTTATTCCATGCATTATTTTGTAAGAAATGAAAAACAAGCAATAAAAACCATTTATTTATAGGTGAAATTGTTCTACTGGAGAGTCGTAGATAGTAATTTCTACATTATGGATCGACTAAAAAAAAATAAAAAGACTCTGGATGGTGTCATAATATTGATGTAGATTTGGAGGATTAACGAAATTGTTACTTTTTATAAATTTGTTTTTCATGTTTATGCTGATTTCATTATTTTTGGTTCTACAATCGTATGTTTGTCTTTTTAAAATCAATATGGTAGCGCTGCTATCCACTTTGTTTGTCAGTTGGAAGTTTTTAACAAAATCTTACGGTAAAACACATACTTTGTAAATATTTCCAATACTCATGTTCGGAGCGTCTGAAGATATGGACACCTTGGAAGTACCTGGAGGACGTAAAATATTTAACTTTATTAAGAAACTAAATTAACCATCTAGTTAGCCTTCTAAACAAAAAAGACGAGCCGAGAGTCTTGGCTGTGCGCCATTGTCGCCAAGTTTACAACACTTCTCAAATTTTTCATTACAATGCATTGATAATTGAGAGAAGCTTAAAAAAAGAGCCACTTTGACATATGTGTGTTTTGTATAAGCAACGTTTATATAGTAAACAGCCTGCAAAATGAAATGAAAATTTTTAGAATTTATATTAAAGCCGTAAAATGATAAATGAATTTGAATGTTGAAACAATTATAATCGATTTACAAGAAATATACATTTAATTGCCAGTATATAAAAAGTGTTTTTCAATTAAAAAGGGGAGTAATAATCTATGTTTATTCAATTTTTGTGTAAATATTTGTGTGAATCATAACTTCAAAAAATTATTTACCTTTTCAAAATTTTTACAATGATAATAACACAATAATCTTCTAGCTTGATCATACAATTGGGAAGCCTCCATACAACTATCAACACCATCATCTTCATAGATCTCCTTCCACTTTGTAGTGGAAGCTAATGTTATGCAGCGCTGCATAATCGTTTGTGACTCTTTCCAGCTTTTCCAGGCTGTACCAGCTCTTCTTGCATAATAGCCTAGTGACCTAGAGAAATTTTCATACATTGCAGTTAGATTTTCGAAATACTAATTGCTGTAACATTAACATTTATACCCACCAAAGCATCTTTCCACAACGTTCTTCGTCTTGCAACGGATTTCCTTGTACTTTTTTTTAATAGATTCACCGAACATCCATTATCATCTGAAAAAAAAATTAGAAAGGTGTAGTTTTTTGGCGTTTTAACCTTTTTTTTACTGCTTAACGAGCATCCAAGCAATGTTATTATGCCAAGTCCAATGGCATTCCAGGTAAACTCTTTTGCACGAGCGCCTTCACAATTGCGAATCATGGGACGATCCAGGAAATTTGAAGTTGGTTGCCATGATTTTCAGCATGATCGAAAATTTGGAAATAAATATTTATATATATTTATCTGTTTATAATTTAAGAATTTAATACACAAGCCCTTCATGAGCTAATTTCATATATATGTGGAGGTAAAAAGAAGTTGCTAATACACAACTATTCAGATTACTTATTATCAGTCCGTTTAGGCTGTGTTTTCCTTTTCGATTAATGAATTGCTTCATTTTCCGCTGGCTTTGTGCTCCATTAACATATCGTTTATTGTAAAACAAAAAGTTCAATTCCTTAGTAACTGGACTACAAAATTTTTGGTAAAGCCACAAGTTCGTTTTCACGCTTACGGTTTCCAACTCTCGTAACATGCCGAGTACGACGGTTAACAACATGCTTTATGCACACTTACGGTATCGTCCCATCGGCCAACCATTGACAAGCCAACAGCTTTAAAGTCATAGTTAAGCGCAAAGCCGGCTGTATATATGTACTCTCCATGCCGCCACTCATACCAGTTTTTTCCAAAACGTAATGAAGTGCCACTTTGGAAAAGCAGAACTTCTGTATAAATCCACGTACAGGAATATCAGATATATTTATACGTCTTCATAAATACTAGAAACAATTTACCTTACTTGTTTTGAGGTAGCGTTATTTAATCGGAGGCATCCCGCAAAACCTTTCTCCCTTGTATCGTGGTGATCTTTTTTTGCGTCATGAGGGTCATTGTTCTCCTCTTCAATGAACCAGCATAAAAGGAAGTTACAATGCATTGTGCTGCAAATGTATACATTGATTGATATTTTAAAGAAAAATTGTACCTACGTTTGCCAACTTTTTTTTTCTTTTTCTTCACAATTTAGAAATTTTATTTCAGATAAATATTAATTTTTTAAAATTTTTGAAAAAATGAATTATTTCTAATACCTGTCTGTATTTTTTTGTTTACTGCCGTTTTTCTACAAATGCAACTTTAAAATTAAAATTTGTTGTAAATTTTCTTGACTTGAATTAAAATATTTAATATAATTCGATTTCGTTTTCAATTGGAAAATTATACTTATTTGTTAAATAACAACCTCGTAACCTCATTTTTTTTAAATATATTAATGAGCCTTTCTTTCTTTTTTGTTTTGTTTTGCAACTGGATTTTTGGTAACTGTTCCGCGGAGTGGCATCCATAACAGCTAATATAACATCAGCCTCTCTCCCTATGAGACGGGGTCAGATCGGATTATTGAATATGTAGATGACTTTGAGGATTATTATGGGAACAAAATTGAGAAAAACAAGAGATTGGGGTTGGCTGCGCATGATGTTGAATTAGCTTCCTCATCTGCTGGTCCAACAGTACTTGATAACCAAGTTGTTAATAAGGCTTTTGACTTGGGTGCCAAAGACATTCCAAATCCTGAAATTAACTTATATGACTATATTATTCAGTGTAATTTCTTTGTATTTGTTAAAAATGCTGAGGGCAAACACAGGAATATCTGTTCTGACTTTTTTTTTTATAAGCATCTTAAAAGTTTTAATATTGATGGCTTAAAAGAGCTTAAAACAGTTAGTATTGTTAGAGCCAAATTACTGTTCAGTCGTGCTCTTCGTATTAATAATTTTATAAAAAATAATAGTTTTAAAAAGATAAAGCTTAAAGCTTACAGTTCGAGCTCTCTTACGGAGAGATATTGAATTATCCCTAATGTCCCTATTGAGTATGCTGTAAATGAGATTGTTAAAAACACGATGTCCGATATATCCATATCGAAAAAAGTATTCTGACAAGAAGGAGGGTTTTATCCCGATAAAATTGGATAAAAATTGGTTTCAAAGGAGAAGCCCTCCCTAAGTCGATTAAGTTCAATTTTTGTAAGGTCCCAGTTAACTACTACGTCCGCACTTTAAAACAATGTTTTAATTGTGGTAAATGTGGGCGTTCCTTCCAGCCAGGGAGAACAGATGCCTTAATTGTGGCAAATCTCCTAAGTTTACCGAAGATTGTCAAACGATAAAGTGTCCGTCCTGTGATTCAAGTGAAAACCGCACTCTGAACAAGCCTTGCTTGAACAAAGAGCACGAATTAGCTACCAATAAGATTGTGGCTATTAAAAACTTTTCCTCCAAAGAAATCAAAGAGAAGCATTGTTCAAATTACTTTCAATGTCTGGACGATATTCCTATGATTTTAACAAAAAAAAATTTAATGTGATTGTAAAAAAGGAAGTCTTTTATTTCCAAACCGTTTCCCATTTCACCCCCAAAACAATTTATAACAAAATGTTAAAGGCCAGTTATTTCTAACAACGATTTGTGTTCTTTGGAATTGGAAATTGGTTTGTCTCTGCGATTGAAGATTGTATCCATCCGATGATCCCTCAGAATCTTATTATTAAATTTGCAGAAAAAATTTCTAATTACGCTAATTTTCGCTACGATCACGTGCTTAGTAAATACTGAGCAGTTAGAAAGGCGAAGAGAATTAAAGAGTTGTGCGATGATGGTAAATCGCGTTTTTTCTGTAATTATATCAATGGTCATCCATATTTTGGTCAAAACTTAAATAGTTATGCTGTATGGAACGAGCATGGTAATAAAAGACATTTAGGTGTATGATATATTCAAAATGTCAATCACACTACAATATCTTCAATTCCTTTCACTTTTCTCAATAATACAACCTTCTCTTTATGTGAATTAATGTAATGTTTTACAATCCAGAAATAGAGCTACCGCTGCAGTTTGTAATGGAGTTAGGTATAATATGGTCAAGGCACTGTCTGTCTACGAATATGCGCGTTAATTAACTATCTTTCTTCATAGCTGGTCTAAAGAGAGCTGGTAAAATGGTTGTTATGTTTTCCCTGGATATTAACAAAGCCTATGATTGTGTCAACTTGATTAAGCTTGGTAGAATTCTTTTAAACTTTTCGATTCCTCTTCAAATACGGCTGTGGATACTAAATTTTTTATTCAAGCGTGTTTTAGTAATGGGTACAGAAAAAGTTGAAGTGTATGGTGGCGCTCCACAAGGCAATTGTTTGAGTCCTATATTCTTCAATCTATACACAGCTATTTTGCATGGTCTTCAAGATGACAAAACTCACATTTTTTCATATGCAGATGATTTCTTAATTGTATCTGGGACTTGTCCTCTCCAGTGGCCGTAGATAAAGGCTAATCTTAGCAAAACAAATACTATTTATAACTAAGGTTCTAAACGCGAAGTAAGCTCTTTATTAAAGGAACTAAACTTAATCAGTTGAAATCTTTTTGATTTCTTAGTAACATTTTAAATGACAGCCTAATTCTTCGTACGCGTTATGAGAAAGCCTTCAAAGATTGGCAACCTGGGATTAATATTACCAAAATTATGAGTAACTAACGAGAAATTGCCTCCCAAAAAAACTTTGACAGTGTACAGGCCTAAGATCAAATTTGCAAAATATATTCAGAAACGTATAAAAAGATTCAAAAATAGAATGTTAAAACGTTGCACTGAACTGAATCTCTCAACTCCTCAACATATTCTCAATGTGATTTACAGTGAATGGCACGTTTCCGAAAGAACTCTTTTTTGTTTTGGTAAATAGTTAATTAAGATTGAGATAATGAATTTCTACTTTTCCCAGAAAGTCCTATGTCAGTGATATTGTTCCTTGCAGCTACATATTTTGTTATCAAAAACTACTTCATATTTTTGACAAGATAAATGCAATTTCTCTCTGCGATTTTTTTACCAACAAATGTAGAGACTTCACGAATATTCTTGAATCGACCTCAGGTCAAAGCAAATGTCAATATCTCATGTATGAGGATCCTATGTCAAGAAAAGCTTCTTCTTTATTACAACAAAGGCCATGCCACTGACGGTTCCTTTGGATATAATATATCTGGCTTCTCGGTACTGAGGCGTCTGTCTAAAATAACACATAGAGTCAAAGATGCGGAGGAACTTTCCTCGACCTTTATTGAATTGCTTATCATCAAACATGCTATTAAGGTAGCTATTATGGATGACCATAAAAATTTGTTGTCTTCTCTGATAGCAAATAAGCTCTGCTTTTAATAGATAAAAGAGATGCAGATAATCAATATATGTTTGATATATACCAGATGTTATATGAATTTTAAATGGGTGACTGACACTTTGTTTGGACACCTGGTCCCTGTCCGGCTTTTTTTTTTGTGAAAAAGTTGACTTTCATGAAAAAAGCCAAGTTGATAGTACAATTTCGTCTATTAAATATACTCCCAATGAAGCAATACGAGTAATTCGTAACAACATCTTTCAACAATTGAAAGACGAATTCAGAGGGAATAAATCCCACATTTAACTTTGAACGCTTATCAGAAGGTTCCTTGAATTCCTGGGAAAGCAAAATTCTCTATAGATTCATGAGCGGTCACATTTATGATAAAGTATATTTAAAAATGATTCGGGCTATTTCATGTTATCATGTGGCCTCCTCGGTGTGCGCCATCTCGGAAAACTAACTTGCTTTATTAAAAAAGCGAACTTATCTCTTAATTTACGCTACATTTCCTTTTTTCTTACGTTCAATCAGAATTTATTTCTATAACATTCTTTTTTTGGCCAAAGTTTGCAACACTATTTTTACATCATTTTCTACAACTCAACAATCTACAATTACATTTAACATATGGGCTTCAGCTATCTTGACCGCAGTTTTTTTTGTGTTTTGTATACATTTCTTGCAAATAAATACTGCCGTTTATTATTCGGACATATAAGCGTTAAATCTTACAATCTTAGTCTATCTTAACTCAACATTCAAAAAAAAAAAAAAAAAAGTTTATTACGCAAAAAATATACAAAATATGTAAAACAAAGAATACAAAAATATGTCAAAAAAATATGAATTGAAAAAAACCAAGCAATTATCACTTAGTGATTTTCTTGGCTGTCCGGATCTGGACAGCCAAGAAAATCACTAAGTGATTTTCTTGGCTGTCCGGAAATCGAAAGCCAAGGTGGGAGCACTTTCTGAAATATATACAATGTATACAAGCTTTATGTCTTTTAATATATTTTAACCATAAAAGAACCAGCAGTCAAAAAAATGAATCCCATTTATTTGGATTCTTCGGAGGAAGACGAAGAAGAGGAAAAAGAAATAAGAAAAACAACTAACATCATTAACAAGGGCGATATTAACACTACCACAAGAATCTCCGTTAAGAAATATTTATTTGATGATGTGTCCAAATCGTCCCTAGCTGCGCTTACTCCTAAAAAAATTAAACCACTTAATATACAAAGTAAGGAAAACAGTACGAATTTGAACAGATTGGAAAGCTCATATTCTCCTATTAAAATCGACTTGAATAACATAGATGCTTTACATCAAAAAACTATGGAAAATTTAGAAAACAATATTGCGAAAGTAAATAATGAACGAAATATTTATACCATAGCTATTGACAAAAATTTGCCCTTATTATTGTCGGAAAATACCTCATTCAAACATTGCCAAACAGCTCCCAAAGATTTAGACACTACATCCAATGCAAGTAGTAAATGCGATAGAAAAATAAGGGGAAATACCATAAAATCGAAAGAAGAAAATCCCGGATTTTCGCCTTCAAATTCGTTAAACAAAAGTGGTGATGGATTAGTAAACAAAGGCTTGCAACAAATATTACCACAAAAGCCTAAAGTAAAAATTATGTTTGAAAAGGGCTTAAATGAGTATCTGTGTGACTTAGTAAAAAGCATTTACTTTGAAACTAACACTGAAGAGGTATGTTGCTGTCCACATTCTGTAATATTCTTAAATCTTTCTAATGTTCGATAATTTATAGAATGACATCCATGTAATTAAAGCTACACTTGGATTTTTCAAAAGCACATCCTTGCAATTAATGGAAAAATATTGTAATATAGTGGATCAAATACCACCTGATTATTTTAATGATATTGAGGGGTTTGAGACTGGAACTTTTCTTAAATTAAAAATTATGCGTCAAAAGTTTAAAGCGAAATCAAAATTACTGCAAAATTGCATGGATAGATTAGAGAAGGAAACCAAAATGATGGGAGAGCTGCAACATCATGCAGGGTCTATAGATTTTGACGTGGATGCTATGGAAGAAGAAGAACGTCGCGTTAACGCTGAACAGGAAGAACTTCATAAATTTAATAAAGAAAGTTTAAAAAGAAACGATTTGGACATGAAGTATTGTGACAATGTCGCAAAAGATGACATAGTGAGAAACACATCCCTGCAGTCAAACGAACTATTACGCCTACGTGAAGAATTGGTTCATGATCTGTGTGAAGAATCTGAAGAAGATGAAGCAACCAATAGAAAGGAAAATGATCTGGATAAAACTTTTTGTTCCGAATTTGAACATGAGGGAAAAGAAAATCCGAATGCATTGCAGGTTAATAATAAGGAAAGCGCAATAGTTGATTACGAAAATGATGGTGATTGCGAATTAGATGATTTATTAAATGATCTTAAAAATCATGAAGAAGAACTGAATGGTCGTAAGTGTTTGTATGACGAATATGTTTACGCCGACTATGAGAGAGAGAAAAAACAGAAAAAACAAAAGGAAAGTGCAAATGTTCAACGTATAATGTTTCCTGTAGAACATCCACGTGTTGCAACACCTGAATTAGACGAGGATGGGTTTCCGGTAGGTTAATAAACTTAAAATAGTACACAATTCAGAACTTTCAGATATTTTTCAACCGGGTTTATTAAAGAAAATCAGTACCACAATTACTATTATCAAAGTCACTATTAACATTGACCTCATTCTGCTTTCGTTGAAGATACAAGCAGATTGTAAATATCTGGTTTATCTGCGGTGAAATTTACCCTAACCTCCACATTTTTACGATCGTTTAAGGTCGATCGTTTAATCAACTGTTTGTAATGCATGACTTAAACACGCTGACAAAAAACTAATTATTATTATTAACATTAGATATTATCAATCACATTATTATTAGCATCATTGTTATTTATTTATTTTTTTTTGCACATATTCATTATTATGTATTTACTATTAAACAGGTTTACGATGCAGAACAATTTGAAATGGCTTTTTCGCAAGCTGCTTCTAAATTTAAAACGTCCACTTTGGATTCATCTAATAAATTAAGTTATGTAATTAATTCTTCCCAACAAGCAATAGATGATGACCTTTGTGTCATTAATTTAGACGACAGTTTACCAAGTACCAGTCATGATGCTCGCTTGCAGCAAAGGATGATTGCTAGCTTATCAACAACAAGTACAACGCAAACTTCTCAAAAAGTTGAAGGCAAATTTCATTCAAATGTTCATAATGATGGTACAACTGGTGAATTTGATGGATTGGATTACCCTTATTCGAAACATATGATGGAATTGCTACGTTTCAGTTTCGGTCTGACTAGTTTTCGTCCAAATCAGCTACAAGTTATTAACGCTGCTTTGCTACGTCAGGACTGTTTTGTTTTGATGCCCACTGGAGGTGGCAAATCATTATGCTATCAATTACCTGCCATTATGAACCCAGGTATAACCATTGTAATAAGTCCTTTGAAATCATTGATCATAGATCAGGTCAATAAATTGGCTTCGTTGGATGTAAGTAAGATTAATCTATGTAAACTGCTCGGAAAAGTATAAGTTTTTTTATAATTCAGATTAATGCGACAAAACTTTCTGGCGAGCAAAGCCAGCGAGAACAACATATTATTTACAACGATTTACAATCAGAAGCGCCGCTTATTAAAATCTTGTATGTAACACCTGAAAAGATTTCAGGTTCCACTAAGTTTCAAGATTTACTTGACGATCTGTATCGCAAGGAGAAAATTAGCCGGTTTGTAGTCGATGAAGCTCATTGCGTATCGCAATGGGGCCACATTTTCGTCCCGACTACAAACGCTTGGGTATATTGCGTCACCGTTTTCCTAATGTGCCGATGATGGCTTTAACGGCTACTGCCACCCCACGCGTACGTATGGATATTCTACGCCAGCTGAACTTAACGAACACAAAATGGTTTTTGTCTAGCTTCAATCGCAGCAATCTGAAATTTTCAGTTGCACCAAAAAAGGGAACTCAGGTTGCATTGGAAGACGTTAAGATTTTCATACGTTCTCGTCCTTCTACACATAGTGGTATTATTTACTGCTTGTCACGAAATGAATGTGAGCAAGTCGCCAAAAGTATGTGCAACGATGGAATAATGGCATGCGCATATCATGCTGGACTCACGGATAGTGTAAGGGAGTCCCGACAAAAAGATTGGATAACAAACAAGTGCCGTGTGATATGTGCGACAGTCGCTTTCGGTATGGGTATCGATAAGCCCGATGTTCGTGTAGTCTTACATTTCTCTATGCCCATGTCGATTGAAGGTTATTATCAGGAAGCTGGACGTGCTGGCCGAGATGGCGAAATAGCTCATTGTGTTTTATACTACAATTACAGTGATATGTTACGTTATCGCAAAATGATGGATAGTAAGCTGACATTTAATAATCATTCAAGCATTTATTTGATTGAAACTTAAATTGTTTAGAGGATCGACAAACGTCATTTGAAGTTAAACGAATAAACACAGAGAATTTGCATCGCATTGTGGGCTATTGTGAGAACGTCTCTGATTGTCGTCGTTCCCAGCAATTGGACTATTTTGGCGAACACTTCACTAGAGAGCAATGCATGCAAATGCGTCAAACTGCCTGTGATAATTGCCTAAAACAGCAGGCGTACGAAGTAGGTCAAACAAATTTGTCTGAAATTTTCGAAGCTTAAAATTCTCGCTTTTTTGTTTTTAATAGAACATTGACGTCGTGGAACACTGCCGGAAGGTTGTACGATGTGTGACCGATTTGTGTAATGGGCGCTCCCGTTTTACATTATTGCACATAGGTAACAGTATATATATAGTTTCTATACATACATACATTTATTTGCAAAGTTTGAATGAGTGTATACATACAAAAGTGTAGTAAAATCAGTTTATGTATACAACTACTTCGATCGCCACAACAACGCTTTATAATCTAATTAGGGATTGTCTGGCATATTGATAAATTTATGTGCCAACGTGTTAATCAGGTTTACAAATAGGTTCTACCAGTTCCTAATATTTCCCCAAACATTGCTATGAAACACAAAAACAATGTTGTTAATCAATCCAGTTTGGTGCTCAAAAAGCTTCCGGGGGCTTAAGTCTAAGAAGATATACTTAAACATTATGATATCAACAATGAAATAACGGTCTTATTCCTACTTCCATACACAACTCCATAAGACTTGTAAACGTAATATTTCATGTCGAATTAACCTCGTCGAATGTCAAATGGTTATAGTCTCAAAAATTGGAATAAAATGATGAAATTTAGTACTCTCATGAACGATCAAAAACTATACCTTCCAATTCATAGCAAGCGTATTTGGAAAATTTGGTACATAACTGTATAAAACGATTAGCGAAAATGGATATTATTTGCGTCCAGAGACGCCCATAATAAACAAGAGGATGTGCTATTCCGCACATAGATCTAAATTTTGGCAAATATTACGGTCAACAAAAGAGTTAGGCCCAAAACGTTGTCGACTGACATATATTTGGCAAATTGTTTTGGTATTTTAATCTTTTCGTTCAATTCATCAAATCAAGATACGAAAAATTATATACTGGGTGCAGGTGAAGGTGCAGTTAATTTTCATGAGAGCGCTTATATGGCAGTGGGCGCAAAACGTGAACAGACCAAAATTATTATTTATCGTCTAGTTTTGATATAAGGTACTAAAAATGAAAGCGTTTCATCATGCTTTTTTTTATTTTACTTTTTCTGGGAATTTTTATAAGGAGTGGGGCCAAAAAATTTCCCTACATTCTCTAGTTTTGCAGCTTATTGTCATATAAATGCTTATTTATTCTGTAATACAATTGTTAGAGGATTGAACGTAAGGCTTCAAAGACTCGAACATCATCAATCATAATAGACGTGTCCTGTTTGCTATTTTATTTTCATCAAAAATTAATTTGTCTTTCCAGCCGATGTTCTTAAAGGTTCTATGATTAAAAAAATCGTTGATTATGGTCATAATAAAACTTCATACCATGGCATACTTAAGGACTGGGATAAATCTGATATTCAAAGCTTATTACGAATTATGGTTACTAAAGATTACTTACGTGAAGAGTTAATATTTACCAACGACATACCCCAAGCTTACATATACTTGGGTTGTTGTTCCCCAAAACTTATGAAGGAGAATGTAAAAATTAGTTTCTCACGGGCAAGAAAAGGTGGTCCTAAACCGTTAACACTAAATAATGAGATCATACATAGTTCAATAGTGACTGTGAACAAAAGCGATAGTGTTGAGGCTAAACTTCGTGAAATTAGTGCTCGTTGCTATGAAGATCTATTAGATTTATGTCGCACGTTCGCAGCGGCGCGTAATGTCGCCATGGCCACTATCATGAATATACAAGCTCTTAAAGCTATGTCTAATCAACTACCAGAAACTGCGACCGATATGTGTTCCATGCAACATGTTACTAAAGCTAACTTTGATAAATATGGCGAAAAGCTATTAGAAATAACGAGACACTACGCTGCGGAAAAATTGTGCTATCTAATGGATTTAGAAGATCAACATGAAGCAGAAAATAAGAGCAATAAAGAGACAGTTACGCGTAAACGTGCATCCACTAATCAAATTTATAATTTCGAAAAAAGCGATGCGGAGAATGACGTTGAAGACTGGGAACGTGCCGTGGCTATGCAAGGCATTTCTTATAATAATGTTGGAAGTAATACAAATCCAGTGCTTAAACGTAAAGGTGCTTGGCGAGGCAGAGGATCAAAAAAATTTCGTCGAACATCTTCTGGACGTAGAAGCAGTAACTTGAGTTCATCTTCTGCTCATAATTCACCTAAACGAAGCGCTAGTAAACGTTTCAACAATTCTCCTCGTAAAAGAGCAGCTCCCAAACGTGGCCGTAAAGCTGGAAGCAGAGAAGGGGGTGGTGATGGGTGTCGGATATCCAAAAAAACAAGTGAGGCTCTTTCGTTCTCTTTCTCTTTTTAAAATGATCGAAAATTTATTTTTCTACTAACAGATCGCACCTGTGATTTCCAATTAATGCCTATACCCCAGTCAAAATAATACCAATCCCAATTTTTGCTACCTTCTAATTAATTCAAATTGTAGCTCGGAATCATAATTTAGAGTTAATATTAATTACTATAAAAAATCTCTTGTTGTTTTATTTTTGTATATAAATTTTACATCATAGAGTAAAGAGTGCTTGGCTCTTCGAAAAATACCGTTTTAACAGGTGTAATATTAGGCTAAGTTATTAACTGCTGATTTTATTTAATAATAAACCGCAAATCATTATGTAACACCTTTCTGAGCTCGTTTGCTCCTCCTCAGTAGTATTTCGTTTCATATCCAGCATGTTGGTGGCGCCTCCATTACTAAATTAACCATAGTTTAGATAAAGATCGTTTATATATCAATCCCCTTAAGAAGTTTATATATGTTTAGGCAATAAACTTTTACTATTTTTCACGGGTTTAATATTGATGTGGTTTTAAACATTCTTAAGTTCGCGTAAAAACACTTTTTAATTTGTTTTATTTCCATTTCTTTCCTTTCATGTAAAATCTTACGGTTAAAACAAACACATATAAAATTTTTTTTTTGTGTGTACGAGAGAAATAGATAAAGAGGAATTGTCCTGATGTCCTGATTGTTTCATTAGCTGTGAGATTGAGAGTCACAATCGGATGAATTTCCGCAAAAAAAAACCGAAGGATCAGATGTCTAGTAGATGAGATTCCCTTTGTTCATTGCTAAAGATGTACGAGTAGTCAGTACGGTACTGTCGAATTTCTGATAAATTTCCCGGAAAAAAGAATGATAAGTTTAGGCTGTATAGTGTTAATTAAGATAGTAGGAGAACAAAAGATTAAAAAGAAATATCAGCAACTCTGATAAAGGCAGTCAATTGTTTGATATATAATTGCTAGCACGAAAAATTATTTATTAGAAATATATCTGCTGTTCTGTTTTTCTCGTACATACGCACTTATATGCATACCGTAGTTCATATTGACTTAGAAGCACAGAGCTGGATATTTTTCTGCTTTGCAAACGTTTGAAACAATACGACGTCATATTAAGAAACTATGAACAGAATTCATGTCCATACAAATAAGGCGAATGAAGGAGCAAACATATAAATGGTACGTTAGTACTGTTATTGATAAAAGATACATCAAAAGTCTCCAAGAATCTCAATTTGAACAGAATGTTGGAACAGGATATTCCTATTAAGGCTGCTGTTAGGTTTCAAAGAAGAAATTCTGACATCAAGGTAGAGTTTATTCCCCCAATGAGTATTAAAGTTGATTTTAAAGGGAAAGCCCTCCACAAAATGGTAAAATTCAATTTTTGCAATCTACCTGTGAAAAGCAACGCTTTAAGACCAGGATATGGGCATCTGTCAGCGTTCTTTGAAGCCAAGAAGAAAAGCTGTCTGGACTGCGGAAAGTCTTCCAAGTGCAAAAACTGTAAAACGATGAAATGCTTGTCCTCTGGTTCAGGCGAGCACAATGCTCTTAACAAGTGGTACCCGAACAGAGAGCGGGAATTAAATATCGACAAGATTATGGCCGTTAAAAATCTTTCCTATAAAGAAGTGAAAAAGAACTTTTCCTCAAACTACTTTAATGGCCTGGATGACAACTCCTACGATGAAAAGTTCCCTCCATTGGCGAACTCGTCCGCCATTTCTAGCAAGGATGGTAATGAACATGCTAATAAAACTTTAACATGGAAAAAATTCAATGCAGTCGTTAAAAATATTCTTTCATTACACTTCCCAAGCCTTCTCCCAGCTCACACCCCAATGCGTCTATAACAAGATCTCAGCGGCCAATAAATTCGAAGAAAAATTTGCTTTCCTCAGAACTTGATAGATTAATCTCTGCGATTAAAGAATGTATCCGTCAAATAATCCCTCTGAATCGTGTCAAAGAATTTGAAGAAAAAACGTCGAATTGTGCTAATAATCGCTACAATCAGGCGCATAGTAACACGAATAATTCCGCTGCAGTTCTGTTTTTATTTAAAGCATGATCTCGTTTTTACAATGTAATAATATTCAAAGTGTTCGACGTAACTTATCATTTTTGGATTTTTACTTGAATTCTAATAATATTAATTTCTGCATTTTAAGTGAAGTTTTTCTAAGGAATGACAATTTTTTTGAAGGTAAGGTTTCCAATTATACTTCAGCCACCAAATGTCGAGGTGACGGTTATGGTGATGCTACTATTCTAGCTATGCAAAACGTCCATTTCAGACGTATCCCCTACAATTCTGCTGGCGATATTGTCATTTTTAAAACCATGAATTTTAAACCGAATCTTTTCATAGCAACATGCTACTTTTTACTCAGTCTTCAGAGATTATGTGACTTTCTTGCTGTGTGGCCATTAAATCTCGACCAACAAAGCCATCAATGTCAGCAGAATCGATATTTCAGTCGAGAATTAAACGGTTGTACTGTGTGGAATGACCATGATAATTAAAGATACTTGGATATGCTCAAGAGCTATATTCCAAGTGTCAATCTGATTGCAATACCTTCAATTCCTTTTAGTAGTGTCAAGAACACACCCTTTTCATTGCATGAGCTAATATATGTTTTACATACCAGAAAGAGGACTACTGTTACAGGTTGTGAAGGAGTTAACTATGACATGGTCAGAGCACTGTCTGGAGGAAGCTTAAGTATCCTCTTTCATGCGATGAATAATTGCTGGTCTATTAACTTTATACCGTAAGATTTGCGACGCATCAAAATAGTTCCCATTCTTAACGCACGTAAAGACCTAAATGATTTAAGCAATTTCAGACCAATTTCTTTAGTATCTGTATTTTTAAAAATTATCGACCTCATGGTTAAGGAGAGAGTAATGGCTTTCTTGAAAACTGGGAACATTATTCCAGCTCGTTCTTATGCCTATCAAAATCGCAAATCTACGAATATGTGTGTTAATGAGCTGTCTTTTCTCGTAGCTAGTTTAAAAAAAACTGGTACAATGGCTATGTTTTCACCGGAGAAAGGCAAAGCCTATGATTGTGTCAACTTGTTTAAGCTTAATAGAATTCTCTTAAACTTTTCAATACCTCCTCAAATACGTCTGTGGATAGTAAATTTTTTATCCAAGCATGGTTTGGTATGGTGGTGTTCCACAAGGCAGTTGTTTGAGCCCCATACTCTTCAATCTATACAGACGTATTTTGCATGATCTTCGAGATGACAAAACTCACATTGTTTCAATATGCCGATGATTTCTTAGTTGTATCTGCCGATTGGTCTTTTTCAGTGTGTGAATAATCTCTTGATAAAAGCTAATCTTTTTTTCGATTCATGCGTCGATCTTAATTTATATTTTATCAAACTAATCAGATGAAAGCTCTTCGATTCCTTGGTAACACTTTAAATGCCAGCCCAACTTTTTGTGGAAGTCTTCAAGTTATATGGCTGTCTCCTCGATCTCTTTGCAGCAAAAAATGTACGTCATCTCGGGGAACTAACTTGCTTTATTAGAAAAGCTAATTTATCCTTTTAGAATTTTTTTTTTCCTCTTTCCTTTTTTTTCTTTCGTTTTTGCGTTTAATAATCTTCTATTACCATAGCATTGCTTTTCGTTTTCAGCCAAAGTTTGCAACACTGTTTAACTTTCAAGAACTCAACAAGCACAATTACACACACACACACACAATTACATTTAACATGCTCACTCCAGTTATTACGGCCGCTCTTTTTTTTTTTTTTGTTACGTTTTATACATAATCGTGACTAAAAATTACAACAATTTATTATTTGGACATATAAGCCACAAATCTATTGGCTTAGTCCATCTCTGTTCAACATACCAAAAAAAAAAAAAAAAAGAGATTCATATACAAAGTTTTTACAACGAAAAAGAAAAAAAAAAAAAGAAAAGAGATCCATATACAAAGTTTTTACACTCCAGATGGCAGTATTTTGTGAAAATTATTACGAAAAATTGAAACTATACAAAACCTCTAGTCTTATAGTATATATTTTTGACTTATTTCATTTGGAATAGTAACATTGATATGTCGTCTTGTTGATAGTTTGCTTTTTATATATATTTTAATTCATTTTTACACAGTCGACACATCCTTAATAACACATAAGGTAAATTTATTACAGTAAAGCTAGGGGCATTGCTGCTTTTAGAAACAAATAAAAAACTATACTTCCGGTGAAAATAAACTAAAAAAAACGTCGAAAAAAACGGTGTAAAGTTCACAGTTCTACATTTATCATATTTTCTAATATCGGATATAAAAATCTCTTTTACTTGTTGATATCAAAAATGCTCATTTAGAGCATTTGGTATAACTGGTAAAAACCCTACATGCAATCAAAACCTGCAAAAGTCGTAAGATATGTATGACAATATACAAAAAAGCGCGCGATGGTCGCTAAATTTTGAAATTTAGTGGCAGAGATTTAAATTTATAGTAGACAGCTTTATAGCCAAGTAAATAAGACAATAACTTTGAAATTGTGTTAGATGGACTGTATCTTTTAAAGCAGGAATTCGAACAGCGTAAATGAAAATTCATGTGAAAAGCAAGAAAGTAATGTGTGACTTGACTGTATTCGAGTCGCTGCAAGAGAGCAATTGCACAATTGTCATTTTTAAAAATGACAGTGATACTCAAAGAACTGCAGGTGATAATTATAAGGGCAAACTTGTAGCTATGAGAATAAACGTAATAATTTAGAAACATGTTTACACGAACTCTTCAACGTTTTGGAAGTAGTGTAGCGATACCACTATTAAAAAATAAAGGCGTCAAACTATCTCTATTATACCGCCACCAATTACTGAAAACCACTATAGTAAAGCGTGAACCTAATCAAAAAAATAATAGAAACATTAATGGTAGTAGCGGTTCGGCTTGCTATTTACGGATATTTTGGAACAATGTATTTGGTAAATATTTGTTATTTACCAATATCGCTGGTTCCGGTCTTCTAATGGTTGTGGGTGATGTTATGGCTCAAGAGATTGAATTTCGTAAAGGAGTACCAAATTCTAAACGCTATGATCTAGAACGCATGGGTCGCATGTTCGTTGCTGGTGCCCTAATGGGACCCTTACATCACTACGTTTATAATTGGATGGAAAAAATCATGCCAATACCAAACTTGCGAAACACTATACGCAAGATACTGATCGACCAAATATTTATGTCACCAGCTTGTTTACTTATTTTCTTTTATTCAGCTTGCTTGTTAGAAAGAAAAACTGTTGCTGAAACCAATGCCGAACTCAAAGAAAAATTCTTATATATATATCTGATTGATTGGTTACTTTGGCCCGGAGCTCAATATGTAAATTTTCGTTATTTAGATATAAAATATCGGGTAACTTATGTTAATGTTTGCACCGCTCTGTACGATGTATTCATATCGTATGTAAAACATTTACATAAGGATGCACCGACTTTATAAATACAAATATTCTTTTCTTAGTGGAATTGTTAGTTGTTTTCTAATTTTAATTAATCATTTTGATTCTAAGTAAAAAACATTTCTGATAATAATATAATTGTGCATGCATGAGTTTCTTTCTTATTGAAATTGAGCCGCTTCCGCGCCAAACATAATGTGTATTAATTTAATTTGTTCTTGCGTAATAAAATTAGCTATCAATGTGGTCAGGTTTTCATTGGCTCGTGAAATTTGTTGTTTTATAATTGAACGAAAATCTTCTCTTACTCCCTTGTCAAAACCGCGTGTGCGACGTGTGGCTATCGAACCCGTAGCAGTATTATGTGATGCATTAAAATCAAAATTAATAGTATCGTTGTAATTATTCCACATATACATAAACTCTTCAATAAAGTCAATTGTGATGATGTACATAGAAAAATTGCGAAATACAAATGAACGTCGCGTCGCTATAAGCGAAAAGATCTGCTCAGCCATCTCTGTATCACGGGGATAATCTACTTGTAGTAAAATTAGAAGATCTCCCAAGATTTCGTCAGGACAGTTCGGTTCATAAAGTTTTCGCTGTAAACAATAAACATTTTTAATTAATAGGAAAGGCGAATGTGTGTTCATATGTGTTTTAACTTACGCTCAGACAAGTGACTATGGCTTTGGTGCAATATTGGACCAGAGCTTTCTGTGCTAAGGGTATGAATATCATATGTCTTGGTACTTTAAGGGTTAAATGCTCCAACAATTGTCCTTGGGTTGCAGGAAGATCGGTTAAAATTTTTAGTATACATTTGAAACCATCGAACTATTGATATTTAAAAAGAAATTATCTATATAACTTAAAAAACAAGAAATTATAACTCACCGTTAACGACCCATTCAATAAATTTAAGCTAAGTTTTAAAAGATTATGAACGAGAGAACTTTTTATTGCCATTTCTGTCATTAAAGTTTTGGCTTCCTCCTTGTGACCAAAATAAATGGCCAAATCATATAGAAATCTTGATATCCACGGTGACAAAGGTAGAGTCAAGAGTAACTTACTGAAATCTCTTTGAAATTGTTCGGTGTTTAAAAGTTGCCAACATTGGGCAGCATGTACAAAAGCTTTTGATAAGTCTTTGCTGACGGCAGTGGTTAACGATATCTGTGGTGGTTCATTACTTTGTATATCATTACGTTCTAGTGGCCAATTTGTGAAACCTTCAACTAATACGTGGTTCAATTGTATTTCGTCAGGTCGGGTATCGCAGTTTTTAATATAACAATGCAAAGAATATATAAACAAAGTTGTGGCGTAAAAGAGAACTTGTGTGCTACCCGCTGCACTACTTGATACAATTTCTATCAGTTTATCCCAATAGACATCTTGACCCCAGTTTTTATTAAAGGGCAAAAATACTTCCCAGCGTTGAATTTGACCGCACAATAATAACACTTGGAAAATCTTTTTCCAGATCTCATTCGTGTCACATTTGATTTCATCGATAATTTGACGTATGTAATATTCTAGAGATGTCGTGAATATTCGACACACAAGACCGGCAGGTAAATCTAGACTTTTATGATAAAATAAAGGTAAGGCTTCTTCCACCAATAAGTCTTGATATTTTTGAGGATTCTGCTTCATACCATCGGCTATCATTTCCAATAAACGAGGCTATAAATTGAAGATAAAGCTCTGCAAGCGTTTTAAAAATTTGCATTTAACTACTTACTGAATGGGTAACTAAGGCTTGAGGAAATCTTTTAAGCACTAAAAGCAATAATTTGCATTGGTTTAAACTGTTTTCGGTATTATTAACTGTGAGCATTAAAATTTTATGCTGCACATCATAAGAGACATGTTGAAACATTTTAACATAGAACTCCTGCGTGGATGTTATTTCATTTTCTGGCGCACGCAACGCACTGGTCAACTCATTAACCTCCTCCCACAATTCGACATTTTGATTCTGAAAAGTTAATATTCTGTGCAAAAACACAAATTCCTATAATTTATTAAACACATGATAATTCGTAATGCTCTTACATGTAACTGAAGCATTTTGCCGCCTCTTCGTAATTGTTGGCTTCTTTTTCCAGTTTGTAAGCCTCAAACTATAAGGAATTGTTAAGATCTAAAAGAATTTCGTAAAATAAATACTCTCCTGCATAATACTTACTTGTATGTTAAAGTTATTGGGAAATAGGCTTTTGGCTGTAATTATCCACGATTTCGCCGAACTGGGGTCAGTAGTGCGTAATTTTTTGACCTCCTCTATTGCATAAAGTTCATCTCCGGTATTATTTAAACCCATTCTCACAGAAATTTATGATTTCGGGCTTGAGTATGTAGTTCTGTGAAAAGTTACTTTAATTAAAAAAGGTACCTTTTTATAAAAATTAACAATTGCTGCCGTTTTTTTATTTACGGCAATACAACAACTACAAAAATGCAAATACTACATAGTGCAGCTCCGCGTATCAGCTGTTTTAAGATATAACATAGCTGTCGCTGCAGTCTGATACGGCTCAGCTGATTTTATTCGATATTGAGTTTGCAATGAATACTTGTTCACATTTAGAAAATATATGTATAATTGTACGTGTATACATATACTTTATACTTGACACTATTTCGTAATAAATAAATAAATAAATATACATTGATATACAATTTAGGTAAATTTTTCCATAAAAAATTTTATTAAAAAAGAAATATATGAATGAAAATCACCATTACTTGATTCTATATACCGTGAAGACAAAAAAAAGGAAACATATCACTTTCTAAGAATAAAATAATATAAATAAAATTCTTATATATTCTGCTAAAAAGATTATTGCAAACCTTCCTCTTCTATATACTACGTTAAATTCTGATACTAATTTAGACCCTTCAGACTCTTCTTCCCAAAATCACAAGAAGTTCGATTAGTTTCAGCTAAAGAAATTCTAAATTACACTAGAGAAATTGAAGGTATAATAAAAAAAAAATCCCATAAATAATTGAATTATTAGACAAATTGGAAGATTCACGACAAAATATACAACACTGGTTTTATTGAGCCATTGAAAATTACAAAGTGTTTGAAGATAGATTCGGCTATGAATCTTGAAACTCATCACATGTCAGTTTTTACGCAGAGACTAAATCCTTTAAAAACGCAAGTTGAATGGATGGTTAACGAAGACACATACGATTATCATCAGGAAGTGGCAAATGCTGGTTTTGGTGATATGCTGCATGACAAAGAACGTAACCAAAAATATTTTGTAGTTATAAAAAAAATGGTTGCTAGCATGCGTGCAGAAGGTCAAGAAGTGCACGTTTTAGATATAGGTACTGGTACAGGTATACTTGCAATGATGGCATGGCACGCTGGAGCAGATACGGTAACGGCTTGTGAAGCCTTCATACCTATGGCTAATTGTGCTGAAAAAATACTAAAAGCAAACAATTTCGGAGATCGCATCAAATTGATTAAGAAAAGGTCCACTGATATACGTATTGGCGAAGATATGGAACGTAAAGCAAATTTGTTAGTCACCGAAGTCTTAGATACGGAACTTATTGGAGAAGGAGCTTTAGCTATATATAACCATGCTCATGCTAACCTATTAACTGAGGACGCGTTGTGTATACCATGTAAAGCTACGTGTTATGCTCAAGTTGTTCAATCGAGTTTGGCTACACAATGGAATTCCCTAAAGCTTTTAGTAAATTTAGATGGCGATATTTTATTAAAACCTTCCTCAGAAGTGCTGAATTGTAGTGGTGAACCAAGTGTGCATGACATTCAAATGTCTCAGCTGCCTTTAGAGCAGATCAAACCTTTAACTCAACCTATAGAAATATTTCAATTTGATTTTAACTGTAAAGAACCTACAGATGTACAGCGTTTTCGTAATATACTAGTGAAAGCATTTATACCTGGTTCAACTGACTTGGTGTTTTTTTGGTGGGATATCAAAATGGATTTTAAGGAGGAAATTGTGCTCAGTTGCGCCCCATTTTGGGCTCATCCTAATTTCAAAGAACTTAAAGCAAAGGCATCACCTAAGTTACCTTTAACAAATGTTGTGCCTTGGCGTGATCATTGGATGCAGGCTATTTATTATATACCGAGACCATTAAAGCTAACTGAATCGGATGACGAGTTCATTTTAAATTGCAATCATGATGAATTTTCCTGGTGGTTTAATGTTTTACCTAAGGTATCTAATAATTTTGAAAAGCAAAACAAACGTCATGCCTGCATCTGTCGTTTCCACACAACATATTCAAGGTCCAGAATAGGACAAATTAATCAAGCTCCACGCAACAAACGTTACTTGCGTTTCTTGGAAAATAATATACACAAGGATTCAAATGTTTTGGTTTTAGGCCATGGTTGTATTTTAGGGTTGGCTTGCTGTTCCCTTGGCGCCTCTAAAGTATGGTGTCACGAGCCTTATAAGTTTTCGCGACATTTTATGGATTCCTTAGTGCAATGTAACAAACTTAATAATGTACATTTAGTAGAAAGTTTGAAAGATATAAAGTCGGAAGATCTAAGTTCTTTAACACATATAATTGCGGAGCCTTACTTTCTTACCTCTATACTTCCTTGGGATAATTTCTACTTCGGCTATTTGTTAACAAAAATTTTGGAGAAATTAAACCGATTAGTGCAAATATCACCTTTCGCTGCCAGCATTTATGCGGTACCGGTAGAATTTTTAGACCTTCACAAAATAAAAGCGCCAGTAAGAGAATGTGAGGGTTTTGATCTAAGTCTGTTCGATAAAATGGTAGAGGTAAGAAAGTGAGATCTAATGGAAATCAAGAGCAATACGTTGAAAATTGTGCGCTTTTAGGTATCGATGTCCATATCGCAAGTTAAAGTAGAGGCTCATCCGCTTTGGGAGTATCCTTGCCGGGCGTTAGCAGATCCTGTCGAAATTTTAAAAGTTGAGTTTAGACGTTTCGACATAGACAAACATCACCAAGGAGAGATAATTGTGAAAGAGTAAGTTTCAATTTTCTAGTTTCTTTCAACCTACTTTTATTTTAATTATAAATCTTTTTCAGATCTGGTCTTTGTAACGGCGTCTGCTTGTGGGTGGACTGGTTTTTGGATAAAAGTGGCAATAGCAAATCTGTAGTCAGTTCGGGTCCACTAGCATCGATTATTCCGGGAGAATTCATCAAATGGGACATGTTCACACGTCAAGGCGTACATTTTATACATAATAATGAAGCCATTAAAGGTAGTATATTAGAATGGTCGGTGGCCTTTAAGTCTAAATCAGCTGAACTGGATTTCAATTTTGATATTAAACACAAATAAAACGTACGTAAGCAAACAAGCATAACATATCAAGTTTATTATGGAAACAAATAAAAAATTAAGTCATCAGAAATTTCAATTTTTTGGTATTTCCTTTTCCATTTTGGTCAATTCAATGTTGCGATCAGTTTGTGCAGCTGGTTTGGCAGCACCAAATTCCCCCCCTTTAAGGCGTTGGCGCAAATCTAAAGCCCTTATGTCGGTCATGAGAGAATGCTGCTTATTTTCGAGGTCAACATCAATCTTCTGAGCATGTTCTTCCAACAGATTATAGTTGGTTTTAGCTTCATCAATTTTATCTATTAAACGACGCCTGATGTCGCGGAGTTTATGTACTTCTAGACAAAGCTGATCATGGGCTTCATCTAAGCATAGTTCCATGCCAGAACGTTGGGCACGATTTTCCAAGCGAGTCTCAGCCAATTTTAAGCCGTCAGTTTTGTCCCGCAAAGCCTGCTCTAAAGTTTTAATTTCACACACAGCCTTCTCCATCTCTTCTTTCATCTTTTTAAATAAAATAAAAAAAAGCCAAATATACTTATGAAGTTTTTGTTGGAAGATTTTTAATACTTAACCTTCAGCTGTTGCCATTCCAACTCATTACGAGCTCTTTGGGTTTCAAATATACGCTTGCGTATACTATGCTCTGCTCTCTCTTGCTGCGATGTCAGCATATTCCGAGCCTTCTCGCGGCACACGAACAAAGCCTCACGTATGGCGTACGTATCAGCCAATTCATTTTCAGCTAATTGCTTCATATTCTTCGTATGTTCTAGCCATGATTGATATGAGCAAGAGCTGAAAAGCAGAAAATTGTATACGCTCTTTGTATTTGATTCCAAATTTCAAAATTTGAACAGACTTTTTAGGGATTCTGGTAGAGTCCGGCTTATATGTTATATTGGCCGCAAATTTGTCTAAAGCCAATTGAGCCATGTCCAAATCTTCTGCTTCTTCCTTATTGCCTATCTCCAAACCTAATTTGAACTTAACCTCCTCTAAACGACACAATTTTTCCCAAGCCTTCTGGCATTGATCGGCCAGCAAGCGTTGGTTGTTTTCCAAAACAGAAAGTTCATTCTTTATTTCAGTATCAGCGTCATCGTAGGTCATTTCAGCACCCAAGCGGCAATCTCTCATGGTTAGGCATTCTCCTATAACCGATAAAGGGTTTTGCATGGCTTCAAGTTCACGCTCAGTTGAGCATTTTTCTTCGCTTAACAATTTCATTTCACGTTCAATACGTTCAAACGTGTTCGCTATAGCATCACGCCAACGGTTTAATTCAGAAATACTGAAAGATTATATTTACTTAAGTCAGGTTTTTAAAAAACATCACAACTTTTAGACTTGCCGATCGGCTAAAGCCTCGTTAGTTTCATAATTCGTCCAGTCACCTTCGATACGCGTTTCATTTCTTAGATTACGGGAACTGTGACGTATGCGAAAGGCGTCACCTCGACGAGCGTCAGCAACATTGCGCAATGTGTTCAAACGGTTGTTCCAATCAGACAAAGCCAAATGTTGTAGAGGCTTCTCTAAAACCAATAACGATTGAAATGCCATTTTCAATGTAACTCAATACAATTTAGAACAAAAATATATATGTTAATATAGACGATGTTTTCACCACAAAATGAATTAGTTTCTTATTCAAAAAATTTTTGAAATATATATCTTGACAGTCTAAAAATGAAATCAATACTAGACACAGAATTTTTTATGTGCATCTAGTATACAGAAAACTGTGGCTAATGCTAAAAACCGATTTCCAAGGCAACTATTGCTTAGAAATGATTTGAAATATCATATATCAATAACGGTTGTCAAAAGTTTTCAGAAAGTGGATGGAAAATAACGTAAAGTTTACTCCGTTTGTAGCTTTCGAGGTTGTTCGAAATACAAATAAATGTTTATAATTCTATTTAAAAAGATTAAATATTATTTATGAATACATCCTCTAACATTTATCTTGATTTGTATGAGAACAAAAAGCTGCACGAGCAGACCACATTTATTCACGGATTTTTCTGGCACCTGGCAACCATAAACAAACAAATTACAGAATTTCTCGAAATATTTTATCATTTAATTTAGTTTACAATCCAAATTCCCTTAGTAATTTATATATAGCAAAAAAAAAAGCGTAAATACGCCCTAAACTTAGTAACAAAGAGATAAAGTGAATGCACTACAGTTGCATTTCATATATGCGCAAGAGTGAAGGAGAAAGAAGAGATTGATTTGAAGTTTCTTGAGAGTGTGTAATAGATTGCTGTGAAGAGTGAAAAATGGCGAATCAATCCACCGGTGTTGGTAAGAAATTTTAATTTAAAGAAAAATTTTAGGATTTCTCCAAAGTTTTTTCAATTAACTTTACAAAGTTAAGAAATTTATCTTATAAGTTGTGTCATCCTAAAGACTATAATTCGAATTTGCTGTGTTTTTGCTTAGAAAAACGCTTTGAAAAAACTGTGGTGTGTGTGTGCTCTTTTTTTTTGCTCTTGGCAAAAAACGTGAAAGTGAAAAAGTATAGTCACTGACTACAGCAAAGTAGGAAAATCAAGGAAATAATAAAAAAAAATGAAAAAAAGCAGTAACCAAGAAGTTGTTTTTGCTAAATTTCAAAAAAAAGGTGGGGTACTGAAGTTATTAAATTGCAGTAAAATCCTACTCTTCATTTTTTAATTTGCTATAATTACTACAGCACCCACCGCCCATTCGATTTGACAGTCTTTGTTTTAGTGGACAGTTTGATTTCATACGAATAAATGCTTATGCGCCGGAGGAACACGAAGAGCTATGATTATATATCTTCAATTATTACTCTGCGTGAAAGACCAGTTTTGCCCTTCGTCTCATTGTTGTAGAAATAATTAATTAAGGCTCGCATCGTTTGTTTACAGTATAATATTTAATAGGTAATTAGATTAGCAACTTACAAATACGTATGTATGTATGTATGTATGAATGTATCTATCTATCTATCTCTCTATCTATTTGGGGTTCAAACAGCAGACTATTGCCTCATAATGGTGGTCATATTATTTTTTTTAAACGCTATCAACTTTTCTTGTTTTTTGAATAGTTTACAGATTTTTTATGATCGATCTTTTGATGTCATATGTTGTTTCCATGTTTTTTATTTGATTGGTTTCGTTATAACGATGGTTTGATTATTTTATGTCTTTAAATATCTTTATTTTTTTAATACGTAGTGGTTCCAAGAAATTTCAGGCTACTGGAAGAATTAGATCAAGGCCAGAAAGGTGTGGGTGATGGTACCATATCTTGGGGTCTTGAAAATGATGATGATATGACCCTCACATACTGGATCGGCATGATCATAGGTCCTCCTAGAGTAAGTAGAACTGTTTGTTGCGAATCTTAACAAATGGTGGCAATTTAGAATACAAACGTATATATTTTAATGCAATGTTTTGTTTTATCGTCTTACAGACTCCTTATGAGAATAGAATGTATTCCTTAAAGATTGAATGTGGCGAGCGATATCCTGATGAACCACCTACGATAAAATTCTTAACAAAAGTTAATATTAATTGCATTAATCAGAATGGTGTGGTAGGCATCTGCTTTTCGTGTTAACCATTTAAAGAGAATGATTCTCCTCTTTCATTTTTCAACAGGTTGATCCTAGATTAGTACCCATGCTGACACGATGGAATCGTGAATATACAATTAAGTCATTATTACAAGAAATACGTCGGATTATGACTTGCAAAGAGAATCTTAAATTGGCGCAACCACCAGAAGGCACCTGTTTTTAGTTGAGCAAAGCATTTACAATAATAGCCGCAACAACAAGAAATACTAAAATGAAATTAACATCATCCTTAAGTAAAAGTAAAACAACTACAATAACAGCACTAACAACAGCAACAAATTTGACCTAAACAAACAGTGGCTGGTAAAAACAAAAACGCTTCAAAAGTCACACATACACACACTTTCTAAGAAGCATAACTTTTTTTTATTGGAAATGCGAAAACGATGATTTCTTTTTCATAACAGCTTGCCCTAATTAAAGAACGGTTTTGCTGTTTAATTTTGTCATCATAACCATTTTTCAAAAATTTTTATTACATGAATTGCAAAACTCATTTTTATTTAAAAATTATAAAAATAACGGATTCTTCTTTAACTTCTTAACCTGATGATGAAGAACAAATAAAACAAAATGCTGCTGTTGCCTCTATTAAGCCTAAGGTGATTAAAAAGTAATCAGTTATCATGTGTGTGTAAACAAAGAAAAACAAAACAAAACGGGTGACTTACAGTGTAGGGTAACGGTTGGTTAAATTAATGAAATAAACTGTTAACACTGTTGCCTTTTTTTGACGATAGTCAACGTCAACATTATTGTTTAATGATAATCGTAATGATATATCGAAAGCTAACTCGAAGAAAAAAGTGGAAAACCAATAAAAACAAATTACTATTACTAATATTACATATTGTGTATAACATTGTCATTGCCGTCTTAACATGTTGCATTTATATTTGTTGTTCATTTCACAAATAAAGAACAGCACTGCAACATGTATTGAAAAGCAAGTAATGTTTGCAGAAACAATACGACTACACTCTCTTTTTAAGTAGCGTATTAACTTGCGAGTCTATGTAATTAAATTATTCTTAAATAATTACGAATTACATAATAAAAATGCTAAATTAATAATAATATATATACATTTATATATAGATACGTATAAAGGTTTTTCCCTCTCTGCCAGGTTGCAATAAAGAAAAATTGACAGCAGTGTAGAAAAATTTACGAGATTAAGTTTTTCTTTAAAAAAAGAAGGATATGAAACTGATATTTTGCAGTGGATAAAATAAATCTACAGGAATTTCGCTAAAATTAGGGAAAATATAAAGCAGTGAAATTTTTTAAATAATTTAATGAAAAAATCACACTACTTATTTGCATGCTTATAATAGTGTGTGTATGCATGGATTGTGAATTGGAAAAAAAATGGGTTTTTAATAAATTGTCATAAGGGGCTGTAGAGCTAGAAAAGAATTTCATTTCAATTACAATGCAAGCTATTGCAATTCTAGATATTTATCTTTCCTTATTTTCTACTTCCTCTCATACCTTCTATGTACCACGAATTTTATTGAGTTTTTAATTTTCAATATAATTCAAATCAATTTTACAATTTTTAAGCAATTTTTTGAAGAAACAAGTTAGCTAAGAAAAATTATTTACCCAGAATAAGAGAAAATAATCTTTAAATGCGATTTTATTTTCATGCAAAGTACATAATGTGTAGAATTGATTCAAATTCGTCTAAAACAAACTTATGTAATTGTAATATTAATTATAATAATAAACTAATAAAAAATTACTCTAATATTAAACGAAAAAAAAAAAAAAAAAAAAAATTAAGACAATGGGCGAAAAATTTCATTAAACTTATATAACAAACCTAAAAGTTAAAAATGTTATAATTAAGAGATGATGTACTATTGAGTATAAGAGAGGTCGTTTGATGTTGGAAAATTTCTCTGATTAATTTCCTAATTTAAATCGATTCGATGCATTTTATGAAATGTTACATCATTTTACAAACAAAACGAAAACAAAAACTTTTGAGAAAATCACAAGGTTAAGCATTCTGGTTGCAACAATATCTCCCTTTTCTCTTTTATATTGTTCTATCATTCATATATGAACACGCATACATATTTATTGCATTCCAATGACTGTTCTCAGAATTCGACTTGATAGCCTGTTGATAATTTTGTTGTTGCTGTTATTAATTTTAGAAGAAGAACATAAATTTGTGATGAAGCATTAAAAAAGTTTTTCCATACAGAAAATTCACATGGTTGAGTTCTCGCTGTACGTACATATTTTCGTAAAGATTATAAACATGTGTCTGTTTTGTAACATATGTTCCTCAGAGAAAACGTCACTTTTTTAATAGATAATCGTATATATATATATATATATATATATATATATTGTAATCATAATCTAGATATTCTATAAGACTATAAGGGGGACGCGTTTTAAACTTTATATAAATTGTTAGAATTTCCACAACGCTTTTGAAGCGCCGGCAACAAGGCGTTTACAAGAAAAGGACTATGAATGTGGAAAAATGGCAAAGAACAGTGCACAAGCCGACAAACCCACAGGTTTACAAATGGCTAATGGCAAGAACGTGCTTATATCTGAAAAAGGGAGAAAACGTGTGGGAGGCCTCCTAAACGAATTTCACCGAAGTGAAAGTGATGGTGATATTGACGATAATTTGGTTTGCATAAAAAATGAAGTTATTTCTAAAAAGCAAAGCATGCTATCTGAAAAAAAAACTTTTAAGCCATCTTTAACAAGCAGGAAAGAAGAAGGAGATTACCCCAGATGGAGCGGCAAATTGTCAGTAGATGAGAAAAAGTCGAATATAAAAGTTGAAAACGATGAAGGGAGTGGAGAGATGGGAAGCGATTATGCTAATATTGTATTAAGTCAAAGTGTTCTTCCTCAAGATGATTCAAAGCAATTTTTTGTCAACAGACCGATGATATATTGTTGGCTCTTAATGATAACAATCGCTTGTTGTCATTAAACCCAAAAAAGAATTTTAGGTCACCCAATGAACTCTGTGAGACACGCAATAAAAATTTATTACAAACCGAGACTACAATACGCGAATTAGGGGAGTTTCTTAAAAATGCTGCAGAAAGAAGTACAACAAGTACACCATGCAATAACCCAAAACGCAACGTATAACCAAAAATATAACCAAAAGCATCCGTCTAGTTGCAGCTTCTAGCAACAAACACTTTTTCAACCGCTTTAATTTGTCATTGGGAAAATCAAACTGGCCTTTCCTGTTGCTGTATATTAATTTATATAATTTATATTTAAATATAAATAGCTTTATTATATATTTAAAATAGCTTTATGAATATATATAAAAATATATATAAAAGAAATTGTTCTTTTTAATGGTTTCCTGATTGTTTCCGATTCTTTTTCCTTGACTTGGTCGCTTTTGCCTTTCTATCATCTCCTCTAGATGTTTAGTGTTTCTGTTAGTGCTAATAGTTGCTCTTAAGCTTTACACGTATTAATGTTAACTGTCAGTTTTGTTTATTTCGTTCGAGAAATACGTCAAAGGATTTTTTTTTAGGAACTAGCGCTTCTTGTAACGGAAAAACGGTTTTGAGAGCCAATTCAATAGAAACGGTCAATCTGTTGAATCCAGAAGAGAAGAAAAAAAAAAAAGTCATGGTATGGTGATAGTCAAAATTTTTGTTTAATGGAATTGGTAAATAAATGGGAAAGGTGTATGTAAGCGTTAACAGTCGTGTCATCGTAAATGCATAACGTTACCAATTTATGAACGCTTGGATGCACGCAAGCCTCTATTACGAATAAAACTTTCTCACTGTTTTTTTTTTGTCTCCATTCATACATAAATTCTGCTCGACTTAAAAAAAAATGTATTTGCGTGAAAAAAAAATATATTTGCACTATTTCGTCAATTTTAAAAAACTGCTGTGATCTTGTATCGACTTGTAGGTATCTAAGATTCAATCTGAAACTGTTTTTCTTTTATTTTTCCTTTTTTTTTCTTTCAATTGAAATTTAAAAACTGAAATTATAATGAGAGAAATTTAAAAATAATAGATGATAAGTCGTAGAGCAGATTGGAATCTTAAAATTTAATATTTATTTGTAATATCGTTAAACGTTGTAAATATTTCATAACTTTGCGTATATGTACAATACATTTTAACGAACAAATATATATATATATATATATATAGATGTACGTACACTAGATTACTATATATGATGTATAAAAATTTGTAGATTTCTTTAAATATTTATACTCTTTTGCTTTGACAATCAAAAGAGTAGCATGACACCGAAACTAGACGTAGATGAATCACCACATCGTGCGCCAGGCGTTTGAAAGTTTGAAAAGAGACAAAATTTCCAATGAACCAAAAAGGCTCTTGCAACAAGCTAATAAAGCACAGAGTCGCTTATAAATGGTTGTGCCCAACTAACAACTTAAATGTTAACGCCAATCTTAAATGCCGAACTTAAGATTCAACTCTGTGAAATTATCTGACGGACCAAATTATCTAACGGACCAAATTATCTAAGAAAAATTAGCAAAAGCCGTCGGCAAAATAAAGGAAAACTTTTTGGGATATTTAGTAACTAATGTTTATTTATAATGATGCCATGAAGCGAATGAGGGATCATCAAACTGAAATGATGGATTTTATTATAGAAGAAAAGAAGCGTCAGCTGCAGAAAGATCCCGTTACAGATATTCGAAAACTGAAATCTCATCGACTGATTATATAAATAAATATAATAATAATAATATATAAATAAATATATAAAAATTTAAATGTTTTTTTTAGTATTTAATTAGTTATGTGCGTTCCCGTGTGTACTCAAGTGATTGTTCGAATCAAAAACTCTTTTGTATGGAATTTGTATTTTCTCAATTATATAGAATTTGTATACGGAAATTATTGAGTACGAATGAATATGAATATAATCGATGAGGCTTTTTTATAAAGACCTGTTGAATACTTCAGAACGAATATACGCTTATTCTCAAAGCGGCACAATACATGCAAGTGTTTTGGAAAATACGCGAACTAAACTTATTTAATTTTACAAGTTAGCCTAAAAGTAGACCGTCATAATTTTTTTTTTATTATCAAATTAAACCAAGCAGTAGCTTCTCTGCTATTTTCAGAGCCAACGTTAAATTCTATGCTAATTTGCCCCCACAGTCATAGCAGTAAAATCAAATTCTCGCTGTACATCTTCTTTTGTCGCTTAAATAAACCCTATAAACCTAGAACCGCAGCGATTTTGAAAATTGCTAATCAAAATCAGTTTTTTCGATTCTTTCGTCTTTTGCTTCAAATTATTACTTGTTAAAGAAAACTTCGCATTTCTTCATTACCATTTACATAAACAAATGCTAGCTATATGAGTTTATTTTAGCAACGCACAAATGTTCAGCACATTATGTGGGTGGGACTATATTAAATATTATTAAAATTTTTAAAATGTAGTTTTGTTGTAAATTTTGAAAAGCGATAAACTGGCAACTTCGTAGAAATTACGATATTAGGCACTATCAGTTGAAAAACGAAAAAAAAGATATTTAAAGCTACAGCTAACTTCATTACATAAATAAAAGTTTTCTCAGTTTTGTGCTGATTTGTGCTAATTTTATAATTCTTTTTTTATGAAATTCCAGTTATAGAAATTGGGAAATTTTTTTCTATTATTACATATTATAAAGAAAAATTTAAAATGTTGTTCTGGATAATTAAGTGAATGTTCTTGAGTGAGCATAAGCGAGTGTGTAATTAAAAGGGCAGCAAAAACAAATCAAAAACCAACAGCTGTACCCGATAGCGACATATGAAATTTATTATTATAGAAAAGCAACATGCAATAAGTAGATGCCATTATATTTCAGGTTAAATATAATCTCGGAACGGTAATATTTCTAAAGTGGAATCGGTAATATAGAATTTGCACTTTCATATTAACATACATACGATATACATGCAGGCGTCAAAAATGAGATTGTGTGTTTTACATTTAAAATTCTCCAGTAAAAGTGATAAATAAGATTCAAGTAAGTTTTAAAGTTTATATTCTACATTTATTGTAATAAAATTGAGTAGGCAATTATTTAATATTGTCTTGTGTACCGTTAATTATAAGTATAAGGTTTTGATTTAATCGATTGGTGGTAGTGTTGAAAAGCATTTTTTTAAGATCATTGTTTATAGTATTGTTTATGGCATTAACACAGTGGTAAAATCGGAATTGAATGGAAGTGTGAAGAAATAAATATTTTAGTAAAAGAGAGAGAGAGAGAGATGGAGTCTCAAGTGAGTCTTTTGAAGAAATATTTTCGCGCTGTAGCGTTGTATGCTGCTGTGTGTATACTTTTTAAAGGACAATGACTTCTTTTTGGTTTAATTGTAAGTTTTGTTATTCTTTTTTTTAACCTCTTTCTCCCGTCCCTATTCGTACTCGTAACACAAACGTTGGTTATGGTTTCTTAAGTTAGGCCTGTATTGGTGTGTTTACTTAACTAAACTTAATGCAACTTATATATATGATTATTGCTCTAATTGACTTAAAACAATTCATCCATGCATGTGTTTTATTTTAGGGTGCCACACAAGAAAATCCACCCTCGCACAAAGATAAATTCTTTCTATGCTTCTGTGTGGTAATGTGTGCGTGACACGATGTTTCATTTATAAAATAAAACGGGAAGAAGACTGCTAGAGAAACCCAATGCACTTAAAATCGAAAAGCCAGACGGATTCATTTGTAGACAATCGACCCGCATACCATTTGACGGAAACTATGGCCAGTAGTCTAATTAATGATGACGAGGACAATGGCGGTAGTACACATACGCGCAGCACACAGCAGCAACAGCATCAGCAGCAAAACAGCAATAATAACCTTGAGGGCGGTAAATTAGCCGAAAATGATTCGAAATTCAAAAAACAAACTTTGGAGCAACGTAAACAAGAGTTGGAAAAATTGTTAGATGAGAAAAGTTGGCTGTTGCAGCAGATTCAGAAGCAAGAAACTCAAATCTTGAATGGCACGTTCGAGTATATGAATTTAAATGATCTCATACAAAGTTTGGCTACACAATATAAACAAGAACAGGAACAAACAACTACGCAACACGATACGGCTACTGGAGGCCAAAATGAAGAGGTGACTATTTTGCGTCGTAAGCCATCAACGAAAAAGGAAAATCAATTAAATAACAACACAAATTACAACAACGCCTTTCACCGCCAGTCGGAAATATCAAACCGTTCCTCTGAATATGATAATTTTCCCAGCATAGATATGCAATCAACACATTCAGCTGGTACGAAAATAGGTAATAGTTTGACGCAAGCTACGCAACAATATCCTAGCAAAACTGCTATAAAAAAACGTTCTTCTACAGTAGCTGGCACTACGGTACAAACAGTTGGTAATTTACAAGCTTTCAGGCAGCAGCAACAGCACCATTTAGAACAGCAACAAATATTATTAACGCAACAACAACAACAATATACCCAACAAAAGCACCAGCATATAATAAAGCAACAGCAGCATTTCTTGGAACACCATCAAGTTTTAGTTCCTCACTTGCAGTATGCCACACAGAAATTTTATTATACCACTTTACAACCACAATTGCAATTATCAGTTCAGCACAATAATTTGACACAATATGGACGCTATTTACCGCAGCAGTCGCAACCGCAGCAACTGCTTGTTCAAAAACCTCAGGCTCAGCAATATGTTAGCCCACCATCAGTAATGTGTCATGGCCTCGACAATATTTCATTGTATTCGATCAATTCGACCAATGTGGCAACTTTGCATCGTCAACCACAACATCAACCGATAATAGTGCAATGCGACAAGTACTATTTGTCGCCCACTACCCATGCCAACCATCAAGATGGAGGTGGTTTCATAAAATCCAGTCAAAACATCAAGGAATACGTATCACCAGCAACAGGGCATCATCATTCACCTCAATCCGTCCAAATACGGGATAAAGCACGTTTAACTTCCAATTGTCAAGTTATGAATCGTGTTACCCCTTCGCTAGATGTTATTTCTTTAACTCCTTCCTATGTGTCCATGGAAGAAATTGACTATACTACCGCTAATGCTATTTCAGCCAAGAACAACGCTTCAACGTCTAATAGTGTACGTTGGCGGTCTCAGTCAAATTTACCGCCTGTTGCCGCTACTGAAACCAATAAGTCTCATTCCAATGACATGCTGAACAATAATCAATATTATAATACAGCTCTGAATCCACCAACGTCAACACTTTCAACGTCGACTCAATTTAATAAATGCCATAAACAGTTAGATGACGTAACATCGATTAATTCTTATAGCACAGACACGCAAAAAAAATCGCAAAAATCTAAGCAATGGTTGGAATCATCATTGGATGGTCCTGTTATAAGAAATTCACATAGCCAACAGCCTCATCATTGTAATCATAATAACAATGACGATTACAGTGTCACTTGCAGATCAAAATTGTCATCACATTCTTTAAATACTACGCCGCGTCACTATTCCATGTCAGCGACGGCAAATCAACGAAATCCATTAAATTCGAACACTGTCAGCCTAACAAATGCCACCAATTCCAAGTTAGTAAATGAAGATGATTTGCGATATTGCAAACTAAGTCAGTCTACGTCGTATCTAAATCATATGGATGTTTCAGGCCTATCCTCAAATACCGTTTTGACTAATAATTTACCAACGGCTTACAAATATTTAAAACAAACAAAGTCTACTCTACCCACCTCGGTTCTATATGTAAATACTAATAACAATAATGGTCAGCTTAATAATACTACAGCTAATGTCTCTTCTTCGGTCACTGGCAATACGCTGTCGCCTGACATACGTATCGAATCGCCAAAAAATGTCACCATAGTGCAGCCAGCCACATTTCAGCCCTATAAAGAGGTTACTAAACCATTTGAAATGTCGGATTTCTACAAATATTCAACGAAATTTCGACAAAAGGAAAATAATACAGATGCGAATTGAAAAAAACGAAGGGATAACGCATTTGAAATTTACGTTTGCAGCGTTCAGATATAAAGCAATTTATATTTAATTATTTTATTCATTTAAGATAATTTCTTTCAAAATTTGTATTTAAAATATATTCCTTTTCTTTTCTTCTATTTATTATCATACTAACGCTGCTTTCGTTTAATTCAGTTCGTTTTTTTCCACATTTTATTTCCTTCTATGGAAATTCCGCTATTTCCCAATATCTCGCTCCTCTTCCTTCTTTAAGTAACTTGAATGCCTTAATTGTGTGTTAAAACAGAATAATTGTGTTAAATAACGTTAACAAAGCCTTGCACAAAATTATATAATTGTCTATAATTGTTTCGTGTTTTTTATACATACATATTCAACGTTAGAAAACGTTAGTTAATGGTATCTATAACTAAAAAACTTTTTATACAATCCAATATATAAAATATTTATTACAATATTCTTTCTTAAAGAAAATTTAATGTTATTAGCAATTGGCGTACTTGTTTGTCAAAGATTAAGTAAACAAAATTAAATGACAAATTGATAGATCATCCGTAAATGGTTTCGTATTCCGAAACAAAGTAACTATTATTTTCAGCAAATTTTTTTATGATAAATTACTCTACCAGAGGTATCCTTCTTGTTTTCTTTGTTTAGTAAATGGCAGAAGTAGGGCACATTTCTTGTTTTTAATATCATTTCATTTCCTGAAAAAAATTGCGATTCTATATATTAAAATTGTGTCACTTTGTTAAATCAAGCTATCAAGATAAGGCTGTTCAACCGGGGTGAGCAAAGTTATAATAATTCATAAAAGCATTACTTCAGTCAAAATTTTTCATTCAGTCCAACTTATTTTGCGTTTTCGCTATCATAATTTTCGCCGATTTTCCAATAACAGGACACGATTTTGTGTGCGCTTGAGTTTACATATTTTGAAAATTTTTTCTTTATCTCTCTCTCTATCGTTTGGATTTAGTTTTCCCTAAAAAGCAGCAAAAAAAATCTTTTTAAGATGTGTCTACTCGTCGTTGTGCTTGTCCAGTTCATTCAGTGTTTAAAGTCACTTCTGCTTCAAATATGGAGGATGCGTGTCCTGGTGATATCGCCTGCCGAAACCTTGGCCGCACATAATGGCCCCGGTTTCGCCATTTTCTTGTTTTGAACAGTAGTTGCCATTGTTGTGTTTTCACCTTAACACTCTGAATCAAATGGGACAATATCGAACTTGCGATGTAGGGGTCCGATGTCTTGAAAAACAGTTCATACATTAAGTTCTTCAGTATTTTTAAGCGGCCCCTAAGGTTCCACGATTTCAATTTGTCGATGTTCGCTAAATTCTAAGTGCGCTCTGACACTTCTTTTTGTAGGTGTAGGCATAGGCATTATGCTCATGTGTATTTCTAAAGCATTAGGTGATTCCAATGCAAGGGAGGCGCTGGAGTTTGCGTAGTGTCATCGTAGTGGCGTTGGCAAAAATGCTTAAATTAATTTATCGAAAAACCGTTGTATATTTCTCTTCAAAATATTATTTTACAGATATAATAAGAAATTCGAACGAACATAGTGAAAATTGTAGGAGACGTTTTGAAAAGGTCTATTTCAAGAAAAGTGCGCTTATAAAGTATTCCAATGCGTTATAGATATGCCGCTTTAATAAATTTGCCATCAATGTTGCCAATTAGTTTGCGATCATGCCATTAAAAACTGAACTGCCATACTTAAATACTCTTCGTCATTGTTTTTCTTGAAAATTTTTTACGAGAGACTGCCACTTTTCCGACAGAATGTAAATGCAAATATTTATCTTTGTGCCTTCTGTAGTTTATAAGTAACGAGCATAAAACAAAATTATTTTTATTTTTAAAAACAGAGTTGCTCTTATGGAGATTATGTTGCACTGTGGTCGCGTCCTTTACTCGATTTATCCTATTTTAAATACCGACCTGCGTGCAAGAACTTTCAATGTGTTTGCCAAATGTGAAGCGCCTTTCAGGTTTATTTTCGCGGCCGAAAGAATGTTTATAGCAGACATTACACGAACGGACATGTGTAAATCGATTCAGAATTTGATGCTGATCAAGGTCTCTGAAGTTTCCAACTGCGTAAACGTTGTCACAAAATGATCATATTTCGGCAATGGGTATAAAAATGTGACATCGAATCCAGAATGTGACACGAAATCAATTGAAAATTGAATAATAAACATTCGGGATATTTTAAAAAAATTTGGTACACAAATGTTTTGGCCCAAGGATGAACCGCGTTGAAAATGAATTAAATGGGATTATTTTTATGCCCATTTTCCATACACTTTATTAGCATATCAGCCGCTCTACGTAAGTACGTTGCAAACAGTATTTAAGATAATCTAAGTTAAGAGTAAGTTCATCATTCTAGAGAAAATTGCGTCCTTTACAATGATCGATGCGTACTTAATGCAAATCCTTTTTTTGCGTATAATGATGTCATATCGAAGAAATTTAAAATATTTGCTATGTGCATTCGAATGTCTCCGTTAAGATGCCAGGAAACCAACTCGTTCTCTCATTTTGCCAAAAGCAGCAAACAGTCGATTCGATTGGCATGTGGGGAAGTAGTAGCGATAAAAGAGTAAAAAAGGAAGGGGAGAGATTGAAAGAAAGTGTGTGTGTGTGTGTGTGTGTGTAAGAGAGAGGGAGAGTGAGAGAGGGAAGAGAGAAAGAAAGAGGGGGAGAGAGAGAGATTTGGTCCTTATACGTCTGTAGAAGAGGATGTGCAGAATTTTAGAGAAATACTAATAAATGTGAAAAGGAGTTAAGGGAGTGTTTTTAAAATTATATTTAAAATCGATCGAATTGACTATATTAATTAAATGAAAATTTTAGAGTGCTGGCTAAATTTGATTTGTGAAATCTTCATGCATGTATGTATTCACATGACATGTGCGTGTGTGATTTTGTTTATATAGTTCATTTGTATGATACGTAAAGATGTTTTCTCTCCAACACACACACACACACACTTATGAAATATTAATTCGAAAATACATTATACGGTAAGATTAAATTAAATATATCGTTTATCAGAGTAGTTTGGCTTGTGGTAGTTTGTTTCATTTCTGGTGCACGGAACCGCTTGGAACGGTGTGTTGAATGTTATCATGTAATGAAAAACCGTATTTATAACGGCACGCATACATCGAAATATACTTTAAAATATAACATGTGCATTTACAGTTGTTAAGTAAAATATAACAGTTTATGAGAGTTTTTTCTTTTTTCAATTTTATTTATTCTACATTTATTCATTTTTCGTTTTATTTACTTTATTTTTTTTTGTCTTCATTTAGCGAAATATTTATTTTTTGATGTGTCGATTTGTTCGGTTCTTATTGTTCTCGTTTAAGATTTTTTTTATTTTTTTGTTTCACTTTCGCTCTCATAATTCATTTCGTTTTAGTTGTATTCAATTGAATCGACGCTCTGCCTACGTTGAATGTTTGTCATACGACTTTGTCTTGTGTAGTGAAAATTGAACCGTTTAGTAGTTGTGCTCACTCTAATATATATTGCGTTATTTTAAAAGAGCATATCGCTACGATGCGGATTCTACAGTTTAATTCAGCGCGTCTGGCTATTTGTTTTACTTTTTTTATTTATTTTTTTTAATTTAAAAAAATAACATAAAATTCAGTTTTCTTATAAAGCAAAATTTTACTTCGACGATTTGTAAATAAGTGTAAAACATTAACTAAAACTGAATTATATGACAATTAATTTTATGAAAATCTTTGCTACTTATTAAGTAATGAAGTCGAATTCATACATGTTTTAAAAAACAGAATGCATAAGTTTCATGTAAGTGTTTTTTATTATAGTGCGTACATATGATTTGAAAATGGCTTGCATGTATTGAATTTTTTACGTATATACTTAGTTGTAATTGCATAGAAACGGAGATACTAAATAGAGAGCATATAACATTAGATCGAATACGATTTCAAAACTTTTCTTTAAAAAAGCAAACTTGACGTTAAATTTGTCACATGGCTTTATTTTATGTTCATTGCAAATAAATGGGATTGTTATTAAATTTTTACATTAAAAAAAACCATAGGACATATAAAACTACACATATTGAATTATTTAAGAAAAGTTTTTCGAATTTTTGCTTAGAAACAAATAGAAGGCGCGGTCTCCCTTGCAAAGCAGTGCATTTTCTTGTTTGATCCTACGTATCGCATCACTGTAGCTTACCAGTTATAACTCTGCAACTTCAAAACGAAATTCCTTTGATAATAGAACGCAATATTTAAGGAGAACTACTCTATTCTTTCGAAAAATTATTATGTGTTTGTTCTACTTCTCAACAGTGATCAACAGTGAGCGTGGTTAAGATCATGTTTAATCGTTTTCATTCATAATTGACTTTTCTTACTTGTCAATGTCAATCTAATGCACATTCAACATATTGGCAACGCAAGTGTGTCGGGATTGGTTTTTAGCACGTGTAAAACTCCACGCTCTCCCTCCATAATCAGTCATTTTATATAATGTTTGTTATATTTTTTGTGAGAAATGTTTAAGCCAAAAAGTATACTGAAAAAGTGCCCTAGTATGATATTACCTATTAAGTTCGAAAGTTAACGGAATCGATCCTTGGACTCACCCATAATAAAAAGAAAAATTATATGTTAATAAGGCGGAATGAGTGGTCGAAAATTATCTGCGTAAACTTGTATAACAATATGATCGAGGATACATATAAAATATGTATATGTAAATACGCGCTATCTGGCTAGCAATTATTTATATATGATTCTGAACGGTTTTCATAAAGTAATTCGTTTTCTTCTTCTTCTCTGTTTTTTCTCGGACATTCTTTAGCCGAGAAAGCAATGATAGAAAATCCGAACGTATCGTAAATGGCCTTTACCGAATTTCGCTGATACACTTTGAAATTGTATCGTACTCATTGCTGGGTCAAGAGCAGTTAAACAATTTCCAAATATCATCACACTTGAATTTGAATCCACATTCAATCGCAGTTATAATATAATAGATACAATATAAAAGGCGGCCGCATAAAAAATGCTGATGGCATCCGTATTCCTATATTACTTAAAAGAAATAACTTAGCTATTGCCGAGAGAACTACTTCTAAAAAAGTAAAAAAAAAAGTGGGTTTATATTTAATTGAAAAAAAAAACACTTTGTTCTTCGTCTTACACACAACAAATATCAGTCCGGTTATGGCTTACTTTATGTTTATGTTCACCTCTTCAATCATAATAATATTAGCTTTTCTAACATAGATATTGTCTCTTATAACGTTATAGAGATCGGTGTGTGCAGGCAAAAAGCAAGGCAAAAAGCACATTTTTATCTTAGACAGCGCCACTAGAATGTTTTGTTTTGCAAAAGTCCTGTTTTATTTTAAAGTTCTCTTTATGTAAAAAATATTGTAACTTATTTAATTTGTATTTTCGTGGATCTCAAAAAGGCGCTACATATTTGCAGTACTATTTGCTGTATTTTCGCATTCCCTATCCTTATATGAAAACGGTATTAATGTACAAAAAAAAGGAGTAAGAAAAAGAATGAATTTTATGTCGTAGCTTCTTTCAAACATGTACCGATTTGTTAATTTTTTTCACACTACAGGAATTTTCTGAAAATTCGATTTGTCTTTTATTCGTCTAAAGACTCTGTTTTTCCTCAATCAGTTTCTAATGACATTTATCGAAACTGGTATCGATATATTTCTCTCGAATAGTTGATTGGTAAACACTTAGTATTTAGAAATAGAAACAGAAATAATTCAAAATTACAATAATTGATATAATACCAGATTTTTATGAAGCGTAAATCATATTTTCAAACAGAAGTGATAATTGTGTCGGCGTGTTGGTGAGCAATGCGATTATAACTAAATATGTACGTACATCTTCTCTTAGTGAGTTGAATAAACTTTATCTCTGTAAGACTAGATAACGTCTCTAGGCATTAAATTACGAATTGCATAACTGAAGTTATATTTCATCACAATTCTTCCAAATTTGAAGATAATCAAAAATTGAAAACTTCTTAAACAAATTTTCCTTTAGTTATTAAGTTGACTACCGCGCAACTTTGCTTACGTTTATTAAACAGTAAGCGACAAGATCAAGGACATTTATTCTGACAGCTTGATATTTAAAATGCAAAGTTTAATAGTTTATAGAGAAAATTATTCACTTTTATATTTAAAAAACACATTAAAAAAAATTCAAAAAAAGAAAAAAATGCAAACAAATTGCTTTTTCGTTCTAGTTCTGGTTTAAAAACAAATTTGTTGATAAACTGAACTAGTTCACATAAGATTTTTTAACTTTTTCATTTCTTTCATTATGCATTGAGCAAACATAAACTTATAATAATAATAATACCATGAGAAAAAAAAAAGAATGAACATCTTATGAACGCCCAGAAAACTGTTTTAGCGAAGACAACAAGTGCAACGAAAATTTATATTTAAAGGGTTGATTTTGTAAACTGGGTCATGTGGGAATGTTAGAGTCTGGCCTCAATTGAGTATTACCATATTTTTGTAATATATTTCCTCCGCGAACATCAAATTCCATTAATTTGAGGTGATTCTCATAAAAAAAAAAACTTTGGTCAATGGTCAAGTTTATATATAATTGACAAGGAGCTCAAACGGTGCGAATTATGTGACACAAGCCTTATGTGAATTAATTAATTTCTTCGTGTAGTCAAAATCAAAATATGAGATAATATATGCTTCTCATAAAATCTCCGTGGTGGCAGTGTTTATTCCACCTAGCAGTGACAAAACAACTGATATAATAAGAAGTATTTAAGTGGAGGAATGTTTTTAACCTACGATTGTGATACAGGGTATATTAAGTTACTACGGTCGTATGCAATACGCAGAAAGACTTGAGACAGACCCGTTTACACCGATCGATTTAAAGTCACTTTCTGAATCGGTTAAGTGCTCATCTTACACAGTTTACACAGCTTAGGTCACAGATTTTCAGATATCTTGATGAAATTAGGTACAGTGACGTGTTTTGACCTAAGGACGAACGCTATTGGAAATGGTTCGGATCGGTCCACTTTTTCGACCACTCTCCATATAACGCCTTATTCTGAAAAGTCGTTATACGGAAGACAATTGTAATTTTAAAATTTCTCGGTAAAAGTGACTAAGTAGCAGAAAAGAAAAGTAGAGAAAACTTGAGCCGACTTTGGCAATTTTTCAACTCTCTCTCACATAATGAAAACTAAAGTTCTTACGACAAAAAGATATGATTTTCAATGCCTCACGACGAATATTATATATGATAATATTAATTTAAGATAAAAAAATTAACTGTATGAAATTTGGATCACCGCGGCATAGTTTTTGGATTCTAACCTACTAAGTATTTTCACGAAAATTGATCCTTTATAGAGTAGAAAAGTGTAAGTTTCAATATGTGATGATTTATTAAATTTATTAATTAAAATAAGAATTGCGTTAGACAATGTGGTGTAGGGTATTTAATGGTCGGCCTTGCCCGACTATAATGTTCTTGCTTGTTTTTAATACAAAGAGGTGAAAAAATAAATCTTATAGATTTTAATCAGAGGTCTGTATCTTACTTGTTTATTTATTTTTTACTCTTATATAGAAAACTATGTTCTTAAGAGGGCGCTTAAACTATTAAAATTTTTAAAATAAAAGACAAGAAAATCCCTAAAAACGAAGGAAATCAATGTGTAAATAAAGTTATAAGAGGCAGAAAAAGAAGAATGAAAAGAAAAGCGCTGTGTATGTGTTTAACACGGCGCCAACCTTACAACCTAATATGAATAAAAGGTAACGCCCGCGCTTTAGCGTTGTTTCTGCACATTAGTAATAAGAGCTTGTGACGATGTTTCCTTGTTGTAGCTTCTTCGGATTCGTATCAAACCCCCTCGCAATTATTAGTTTTTTTATTTTACAAAAAAAATTAAATTGTTAAATATTAGGAGTTCGCCAACGACATTTTGGCCAACGACTTCTACAGGTAAAAATGGTATACAAATAGGAAATGCCAGTGTTCATAACAAAAAAATTCAATGATTTTGACTTTTCTCTACCTAAAATAATAGTTTTCCATATAATATTATTAAGATATTCAGCGTATGTCGTCTACGCCGCTAATCGTGGAGCGCCCAAAATTGCATTTTCGATCTTCATTATTTTTTTTTTTTTGTTAAATTTCAAGAAACTTGCTACAGAAGCCCACCAAACACGTTCAGAAGCTTATGGTGATGCTTCTTCATCATATCTTAATGGTCGGTTTTGGTTGTCACGTTTTAGAAGTGATGGTTATGATGTCAATGGGAAAAAACGGCCTGGAGGACCAAAAATGTGCACGGACCATGAATTGCAAGACTTATTAGCAGAAAACCCAGCTCAAACTTTCTAAAATTTTTCCAACTGCGAATTGACGAACCAAGTGTTTGTAGACATTTAGATGCAATGAATATGCCATTTCGAATCCTCTCAATAACGCGGTTTTATTGCTTGCCCGGCAAAAAAAAAGATTTCTCTCCGATGTATTGTGACTGACGATGAAAAGTTAGTCTACTGTGACAATCGTAAGCACAAAAAGCTATAGTTTAGTCCAGGAGAGCCATTCGTATCGACCCCGAAGCAGAATATTCATGGCCGTAAAGTTTTGTTGTGCATACGGTGATGATCAACAATACGTAGTGCATTAGGGACTGCTAAAACCGAACGAAAGTGTTACTGCAGATGTCTGCAAACGTCGATTGAACAAATTGAACGATGTATTGTTGCAAAAGGGACGAGAAATAGCCGC